AACATGAATTAAACATATTTTTCAATTTATGCATTGACAAATAACATACTACATTAAATCGTTAAATATTATTAGTAAATAGTAGAATTCAATTTTGCAGACAAGCTAGTAAAACAATATTTATCATCGTAAAAGGATTTATTGTGTTCTACGTGCATATCAACCCATTTCTTCCTGTGGTGAATCATTTTTCATAACATTTTCCGTTCTGAACATGTATTTTAAACGCGTCAGCTTCTTAATCGTGAAGTATTGTTAACATTGCAATCTATTTATAATGAATATGAATACAAGGTGTACTACAACAGAAATACAGAGTGTACAAAAAGTCTGGAAACGCCTAGATTTAGATTAAATTATCTGAGGTTGTTAAGTCGATGCAGCCTAATCGCACTTCGACGTATAGGTAGAGACCTTTTGTGCATATCTTAATCCAGTTGAACTCTAGGATGCCAATACTTCTGATAAATTTATTTTCTTTTTCGTTGTCAAAGAAACGATAGTTTTTCTATCTGATTTGCCCATTTTTTTGAGATGGATGATATCTCAGAGGACAGTCACCAGTGAGAAAGCCAGTGATCATTTTGATATCCTTGTTACTCATTTCGAGAAGGTGGTTTGTTGGCGACACTTTTATTAGTCTTTTTGCTTGCCTTCGTCATGGTGTGTTAGACCAATTTAATCTTGGTTGAGTTCCTCTCTGATGTGGCTTTTCGATAGTCCACACAAGGGTTCTGCATCCTGGAGTAGAGTATTAGTCCCTCCTTTTGCGAGTCTTTCAGCTTTCTCATTTCTTGCAATTCCCTTATGACAATGATTACTTTGTTACGTTCCGCCACCTTCTTGAGGGATTGTTTACAGTCCCAAATCAACTGCGACTTGCAAGTAAATGAGTTAAGAACCTTTAAGGCAGCTTGGCTGTCTGATAAAATAAACACTTGTGCCCTACGAGTGTCGCGGGTGAGACATTCTTGGGCACTAATGTCTTTATAATGTATTTCTGCCTGAAAGATAGTTGGGGCGTTTCTCCAAAAGATTTGGATAGCGTGAAATTAGGCCCAGTAACTCCCGCACCTGTCCTTTTATCTATCTTAGATCCATCCGTACGAATCTTCTTCTAGTTCCAGTTCGACTTCTCCACACATTTGGTGGTTCTTCATGACCACTTCCAGGGGTGTTTCGAAGTCGAATTTGACTGGCCTGAACCTGTAACCTGCTCTTCTTCTTAGGGTGCCTGTCCGTTCCGAACGTTGGCGATCATTCTGGCTATGATGATTTTGTTGGTTGCTATACGGAATAGCTGTGTTGAGGTCTTTCTATACCATGCTCTCAGGTTTGAAAGCCAGAATATTCTTCTTCGTCCTGGGACCCTTTTCCTTCAAGTACTGTGGCTTACGGCCTTTCACGATTTTGACAAATCCGCCGTTATGTTCATCCTCCGCAGTACTCCTTCATTGGTGACTTTGTCTATCCATGGTATCTTCAAGATTCTTCTGTATAAGCATAGTTCAAAAACCTAAAGTTTTGATAGAGTTTCCGCCTTCAATGTCCACGTTCCTACTCCGTACAGAAGCACTGATTTATTAGCAAGCCAGATTAGCACTGTAGTCTGCAGACCTGAGTAAAAGATGACATTCGAGCAGGTAGACCAAAACCTGTTAGAAATTACAAAAAACTTTACAAAACCCTACAAAATTCAGTTGTTTTAAAAATTAAACGAAGATGAATACGACCATAGATTACAGTTTAGTGAGGTAATATAATAAAGTTGTAACTGACGAGAACTTCTTTGACAAGATATGTTTTCCGACGAAGCAAGATGTCGACGAGAGAGACTCAGGAATGCACAGGGTGTTCATCAATATAGTGGTCTGCAAGTTATGATGTGGGCTGAAATAATTTATCGAACTGTTCCCGCTCTTGTGGAAGGCAGTATAAATCAATATCAATATGATCGTATCTTACAACCTGTGTTTCTGCCATTTCCAATTACTGCAGCTCCTGATTTGCGTTAGATATTAGGCAACATACTACATCAACAGTAAGAGATTGGTTTTATAATGGGGATATTACACTTATACCGTGACCAACACAATTGCCAGATCTTATCCCATCGAGCATGTATGGGATACGCTTCAGAGACTGATTGCTCCTCATTTCCACAATAGTCGTACTAAGCAAAATCTTCAAGATCGTCTCGCACAGGAATGGATCCTATTGCCTCAAAAAAAAAAAAATTGATAATTTAATTTAAAAGCATGCTGTAAACTGTAATTAATTCTGCTAGAGGAAACACATATTATTAAGCACATTATTTGTTGTTATATTTGTTGTTATAATTTTGTTTTATATTGAGTTTTGTGTGAATAATTTGCATACCAAAGGACATTTATATTCATAAAATAATACACTGAATAAGTGAAATGATGATTCGGTTTTTTGTAATGGTTTTAACAATAATTATTTTTGCAGGTTGCTTAACAGGTAAATTTATATTAGGCTCTTAAAATAAAAAGCCATTTCTATATTCACCAATTTGCATGATGCATGGTATTTCATTATTAAAGCTGCAAAGTAAAAAGTATGTAATAATTTTTAATAGAATAATATAATTGCGTAGAAAATCTAATCTGCTGTAGAAATAAACCTGCTCCATTCTAGAAACTTTCTTCGCTTCTTAAACATTTCGATGTATATGTGGGCTATTGTTGAAGTAGAATTTGAATAAAACATTTTTATAAAAAAATCCATTATTTATATTTTATATTTGATCGTCAAGTTTAATGCAATCATCCGCCAGAAATTATGGCGGAATATGTTTTAGTTTATCCGAAATCTGGTAGCCAACAATGTTTTAAAACAAAAATTATCATCGATATTCTACTTTCATAAACAAAATATGGTCCTCTAACCTCTTTGGAGTATATATCCGTCTTGATTCAAAAGAAATCGAACGTTCTTCTATATAGGCACAATAGTTTATTTTAAACTCTACATATATTTGATATTAATTAATAGTTTTCTTCTGTTGCCTACGATTAAGAAGAAAAAATGAAAACTAGTACATATCTGGCATACAGCCAGATTTATTAAGCAAATCTTTTATTTTCCATAGAGTCTATTCTATGTTTCGAGACATATCTTTACACTTGTCATACATCAACAAAACTGTTGGATACTATGTTTTTATGCAATATGTGTTGTGTGTTAGACTGTATGATTCTAGGAGCAACTTGAGTATGCTGCAAATTTAGCCTATCAGCTAAATTATATTGGCTATATTATGTACTTTAGAAAGGAGCTCCAACGTTAACGGAGTTTTATTGTTTCATGCGATCAATGAACCCCCAAATATGAAAAAATCGCGGACTGCTACCATTTAAAGGGGTGCGTTTTTGAGAAAGGGGTGAATTAGTCCCTATCCATTAGGGTGGATTTAGGTGAATTCTATGCACTTTTCGTACATATTTATCGACAGAAAAGTTGTTCAAAATTCAATTTTATTATTATTTTAAATCAAAAATAATTTTTTTACAAAAATATATTCAAAAAACGAAGTTAAAAAACACGAAAACTTGCGATTTTTTTTGCCTTATAGCTTTTTTCCAGGGGGTAAAAAAAACTTCTATACTTTTTCTTCAAAATGACGTTTAGTAGAAATCTTTAGATGATCTACCTACTGTAGAACAATGTTTCTGGGGGGGGGGGTTAGTTTTTATGCTACCTCCATTTTGAGTCCTTAAAATTGAGAACATGGCCAAAAATGGTGTGTATTTTGAAGAGGAAGGGATAAAAGTTTTCTTTTTCTGTTAAGCAATGCCTATACGAATGTGGGGATGGTATTTTCGATAGGGCGAAATATGACGGCTGACTGGGAGTACCAGTTTCAGATTTTGTGCAGGCCCGAATGTTATTTTCGCCTTGCTTCTCTCTATTATTTATTTTACCTCGCAGCATGAGAGTTAGTATAGAATATAGCGAACCTATCAAAAGATGGCCCAAATATGCATCTTTTATATATTAGGCCCTTTTATGCAGTTTAATGCATCTTAACGTTCTTACCTTTAGTGACAAGAAGTCTGCACCATACAACAATAAGGGGACAATTGTATTAAATAGCATGTATATAAATTGTAGGTTTGACAATCGTTCTATTACCAATACAGATCAGAATTTTAAACTAATTGCCACAATTCCATTTATCATTGATGTTAAAGACTAGATATTAAAACGTTTCTACTGTTTCATTGATTATCTCCAGGTTATCACGATAGGTTGTCGGCTGAATCTCATTATTTCAGTATTATGAATATTGATATGCAATAAATATTGCTGTACAGCTTTATCTGTATTATTCAAAATATATTGCACATCAATAATAGTGACGGTATGTTCATGTTCTAACGAAGGTTTTGATAGGTTTATGGTTAATGTCTTCAGATTCAGTTCCTAACACTATTTCAAAGATTTTTCAATGTACGTGTTATTACTATAAGTGAAAGCTTACAATACTGGCGAACTCCTTTTATTAAGTTAAGTGGTTCTTCTGTCGGCAGATAGTTGTCCAGAAATTTGTTAATTTTATTTGGCAATCGCTTAATTTCAGAGATCTGAGGTGAGTAGTACATATGTAATTTTAACCTCAAAGGGTTTTTCGTTCAATATCGGTATTCACTTCATAAAAAAGTCATGTTAATGAAGTCATTTTAACCTCAAAGATTTCGATACATTTGCTTCGATTTAAACTGTCTTTAGGGAACAAATATCAAATCGATTGCTTAATCCGAATTCGGTCCCACTTAGTCCGTACTTTTTTTTTTGTTTTTTTGAATAATTCGTAGAAAAATAATAACTAGTACAGTGCAGAATATTAAGGTACAATAGAGTATTCAGTAATGTATCACATGAATCTTTATAAATAATGGATTTTTTTATTATTTCCTCTATTATGAGATGCATCCCATTGCATATCAGTATATTTAACATTAAATTCCTTTTAGTGGAGATGCTTAACCCCTACTTTAACCCCGGATATTTCTCAATGTTCTACCCTGGCGGAAACATGTCTCCGTGGGGCGGACCTCTCAGCAATAAAGCAGTCCAGTCCATGTGGATGAACCAAATGGATAACAAACCCATGCATCATCAAGAAGAGGAAGAAGTAAGTTATTGAGTTACTGTATTATAGTATTCTGTTCATTGTAAATTATTAAACTGTTAGAAACAATTCGTCGTGAAAAACAAATCGTTTTATATTTACCTCCAATTACCATGAATTTCATTGTAGGTCTTATTATTAAAAAGTATTTATTATTGAAATACATACCTGGTTATATTTTACAATAACAAGTTGTGGATAAATTTTCTAATCAGTTCATTGTGTTTCAGTATATATTTGGATTGAAAATAGATTTTAGCCCCAAAAACTTGGAAAACGTCTTATGATAGATATTAGATTTGTATTATAAGGAAATATTTGTTTTCTTACATCCTACGATCTAGTGGTGGAGAAATATGTATTAAAAACTAAATTTATTTCTTAATCTCATGTCAATCTAATACACTACCGAGTTGTTTCTTGGCATTTCACATTATTATTTTGAAACTTTTTCGGGTCAAAATATAAATAAAACGAATCCAATTAAAATCCCAACAATCATTAAACATACTTTCTTTAAATGGTATAAACATTGTTGAGAATTTGTTTGTGATAAACGTATAATAGTTTGACTGTGAGCGGAAGCAATACAAAACAACAAATCTGCTTTAAATATATGTAGGAGGGAAAAACAGAGCAAGTATAACTAAATACAAAAAACATAGAGCCAAAGCAAGATATATTACCAACAAAAGTAAAAAATAGTCATGAAAGAGGTTCGTCGGAGGCATAAACAGAAACACAACACTATCATCTGCATGGACGAAGATACAAGGTATTTATGGAAACAAGAATGGCCTTGTCATGAAAACATTAGATTATGAGGACAAACTAATAAACCAAACAAGAGAAATAGGTGAATCATTCGCAGACTATTATCATAAGCTTTCCATAAACAGAAATATAGTCAGTGATAATATTGCTCCCATACGGAATTCAAAGGCCTTGATTCCCTAAACAAGCCACTGACAAAAGAGGAAATGGAGGAAGCTAACTCTCATCCCGAAAAGACAGTTCTTCTTGTTCCGATAATATCCCGCTCTATATCGTCGCCAGTGTTCCATCTCCAGCGCGCATCGATGGAAATGGAAGGTATGCTTGCGTACAGAGCGGTAGCAAACTGTCAGCGTGAGCTATCAGTGCTATCGTTACAAAAATGAAATTAATTGAGCATTGAGAAAAACAGCAGAGTTTTGATTGCCATTTAAAACAGTGCTCTCAAATGCGACACAATCTAAAATGCACTGGAACTTAACGATAATTCCTCTTAGGATGAATTTGTGAAATATTCTCTTTGCGATAAACCATCCAAATACTCAAAACTACTATAAAAAAAGTAAATATACTAACATACTATGTGGCAAGTGCCATCTATCAGCTAAACCGACAACTTTTCACCTTGTCCTCGTAAATAAAAAACGCAAAACTTAATGAACCGATGCAAAATATCTTCAAATCATGCCAATGGTTCTATCTCTCAGACTGACAATGACATTATTAACGTTATGACTTCCCTCGGTAGCGCATTGGCTAAAACGGTAACCGAACAAGATTGTCCCCCGATAAGTTAAAATTTGGGGACCAGCCAGGCACGTCCAATGTTCCGAAATTGTTTAGTTATAATTCTATGTAAAGGCAGTGAAATCTGCTTTGCATAGTGACAAGTAGTGGTGGGTTGCGATTTCACGAACTGCTACTTTGTCACTGCTACAACGCTGTCATAGTCACAGTCCGCTACAGCTGGAATAATATAACAGTGACATTCAGTCACGTTTTATTCTACTGTGACTGCACCACTTCGGTCCAGTGTATGCTACATAGACGTTGCGACAGTGACAAGCCTTGTTGACGGAGCATTTCCAAAATGGAGCAGTTGCTCTCATATGGTGACTGTGACTATTATTTGCTATTTGTAACATAAGGAACGACGTGGTCGAGCGTGGGAAAATAGCACCGTTAAAAATCCTTAACAAGTTATTTTCTAAGTCATATTAAATTATCATAAGGTAAAAAACATAAGAATTGAATAAAATAAAATCAATATACCTACTTATTTCTTAAACTTTTAAAGGGAAAATCACAATAACCAAACATAAAAATGAAACAGTGGTACAAAAAACAAAGCAGTACAAAAAATATTGCCTAAAATATTTTTTTTAAATAAAGTACTATAGTTAAGTTTTATAATAAAGTCTATAAGAAAATTTTATAGTAAAGATTTATAATAAAGTAAAGTATAACATATAATTATAAATAAATTTTTGTTTTGTTTTAACATAAAAATACAGAAACTAATAATGATAAAGAACCTACTGACTACATATAATACTTTTATAATACAAACCTATATAATAAACAAAAATACAGAAAACAACAAGCTTCTTAAAAAATAAGATAAAATAAAATATATTTTAGAATATTCAAAGGTAGCAATAGTAGCAGGGTAGCAGTTAAGATTAAACTGCTCCAAAAAATCACTGCTTTTTGTCACCGTGACAATACTGGAGCAGTCACATTTTGTCACAGCTACACAAAAATCGCAGGTTGGCCCACTACTAGTGACAAGACATATTTTAACACACACTACACAAAGCATAAAAGTGTAGGCACAAAAAATCTCGATATGTCCAGGTGCAGAGTAGCAGCTACTTATATATTTTACATGCAATAACTGTTCTTGTATTCCATAGTTCGTGATGCAGATAGACAGCTGCATAAACATCTACAATGCTATAACTGTGTCACCAGTGTTTTATTATTTTAAGAAACAACATTAACATTATATCTCCAAACGCGAATTCTTGAATACGGAAACAGAATAGAATTGCAAACATTTTAATTGAAAATACATAAAATAACAATATTGTTGAACCTTCCAGAATTTCCAATTATGATTTTCAATTTGTGAAATTGAATCGTTAGAAATATTTGTTGTAATTCGAAAAGAATGTGTTATGGTAATGGAATAGTTATGTGGAATTCCTATTTGTTACTTTGTTTAAATAGTAATTAACATTTTTTATCCTTACATATTTGATTAATCGAGTCAGTAGATAACTCATGCATTCATATAAATAAAATGTATAAATGATTCACCACCGCTGTTTAAGCGCCACGATATATTTTTCAGCTGATCGATTTTTTGTTGTTGATCATTAAAAAATTTTATTCGTTACTTTGTATCAGGGCCGGACTGGTTCATAAAAAAGGCACCAATCTAAACTCTAAACAAATGCGCCATACCCCCAGTCTTACGCCCGATGTCATAATCAATTTAAAGTAAACTTTAAAGTAGAGTTCACTTTAAAGTATAAATTTCAGTTTCATAATACTGTAACCTTACTTTAAAGTTCACTTTAAGTTAAATGGTAGAAATCTGTCAATTAACTCCGTAAAGTCCACTTTAACTAAACTAATAGACTCAAATTTTTTATATCCTCTTGCTACAAGTTTGTTTACATTCTTATTTTAATTTTCAAATTTAAAATGAATTTTTCTACAAGTTCAGATTCTTCTGAAGATGAATTTATATATGTCCGCCGCCCTAAAGTTTATAGGGAAAGAATAAATTATATAAACCAATATGATGATGTAAGTTTCTATGAAAGATTTAGACTGACAAAAGAAACAGTTATATCCTTACTGGCATGATACTATGACTATAAGATAAGATATTGCGCATGTTTTTGGGACGTCATTGGAGACTTGCACGTTCGAAATGTCAGTTTTTGTATATATCAATAGATAATCTTTAATAAATAGTTTGGAGATATCCTTATGTGTACGATTATTGTTATAATTATTAAACCTCTTAACTTATTTCGTCTAGTAATTTCATCACAGAATGCATACAAATCTCATTTAACTTTAACAAGAATTCAAATTCTAGTCTCCAATGACGGCATGCGCGAACCCGACCGATTTTGAGCTACGGGAAGATCCTATCTTGTTTTTCATAGTATCATGCTTACTGGAATAAATCGAACATTTAATAAAACTTCTTCTTTTCGCTTCAGAGATAATTATCAACTAACTTTACAAACAATTAACAACCAACTTTTAATACCGAACTTTATAAACAATTAACAACTAACTTTATAAACAATTAATAACTAAATTTACAAACAATTAAAAACTTTTACAAACAATTTAAGATACAAAAGATATACGAGGTTATTTAGATTTCGACAAAAACCCGGCAAAATTGACACAAACACGATACCAACCTACCAAATTAAACACTAAAGTTGACTTTTACTAATGAAAAGAGCAGTACGTATTATGAAACCGGGTGCGACACTAAAGTGCACTTTAGTGTAAAGTGAACATTAGTTAAAGTGTACTTTAGGTTGTCATTATGAAATCGGGCGTTAAACTTTTTACATTAATTCTTTTTTAAATCATAATACATGTAAATAATCAATATTATTTGTAGATTTTTTAGTTTAGGTTAATTTTAATTTAAATCTATAAAATAACTTACTATTTTTATTGGGAATTAGCCTTAATTTTACTTTAAAATAAGTTTATTTTCACGTTTCGATTTCCACGTGGAAGTCACTGGCAGGAAGTCCCACAACACGCCAGTTGATAGCGCGTACGATGAACCGGCGGCGTGGGACACAGATTCGACGAACTTTTTAATCGTAACAAATTTAATATAAAAAACTCGAACATTGTTGTAAGTGGTATATCCCTCCGTTGCACGCGTGAAGCCTCTCAGTCCAGGCATAACTCTTTGTTTGCATTAACTTTATAACTATTGGCGACGTGCAAGTACTTGGAGGGGATACGAGAAACGATCGTGCGCGAGTAGTGGAGAAATCTTGAATTTTTTACTGCACATTTCATAGATTATAGATTTCATAAAATCATATTGTCAATTGTCATATTTCATATTCGTTTTGTTTATTTACACCTTCTGTCACTGAAGAAAATGGGATTTAGGAAATGCTGTGTTATAAATTGTAAAAATACAACATAAAATTGTCAATTTAAGTTTTATTCGTTTCCAACTTCGAAGCACAAAGCTACTACAAAGAGAAAAGTGGATTTATATCATAAAAAAGCATAAGTAACATAACCTAAATTATGCATTATTCTTGCGCCCGATTTTAAAGTCAGTTTGAAATAAATAATAAATAAAAGTTCACTTTTAAGTGTAAAGTTTCGTTTCACCAACACTCACTTAGAGTTCATTTTAACCCAAAAATCAAGTTTAATGTTTGAATTTTATTTTTTTGAAGTTTACAAAAATGCATCAAGTTCAAGTTTTTCTGAAGATGCATTAAGATATATTCGCTGTTCAAAAGTTTACAGGGAAAGAATTAATTGTTTAAACCAATATGATGATATCATGGGCTTAACCTTCTAATTTATGCATTAGCATTATTTATGGTAATTTATTTTTCTTAATTCTTCCACTCCACATAATTCTTCCATTCTTTTTTGACATTTGCCACTACTAAAGCTTTTCCCTTTGACTCGTGCTTGGTTGAAAAGTTATTTGATGATTTACTTTCTCAAATCCAGTTTTTATTATTGCATCCATATTAACAGTAATGCTGTAATTCAATAATATATTTATTCGTATTTACGCTACATCAACGTTTACCTTTTAATAACATACCGACATAACCTCAATCTTACTTTTTCTTCTTATTCTTTTTTGGGGCCACGTCCTTGACAGTTATCCGGTAACCTCGATCTAACATGAAAGCGCAGTAAATTTGGCTGATTTACGACACCAGGTGTCGCTGTTCCGAACTTGCACGGTCCCAATACTCAGTGACATTACAAGTATTACACCCAGAAGGAATAATTTCTTGAACTTAATTTTTTGGCAACATGGTAGATCAAGAATGAAACGATAACGTTGTTAAGAATTTTTAATAACAAGTAATCAAAAAACAAATAATGTGTTTGGCGAGCCCGTAGCTGAATACACTCCTGTATAAGTCTAGGCATTGACAAGATGATCGATGTCTGCCTGTGGCACCTCGTTCCAAGCAACTTGAACTTCATGTATTAACTGTGCCAGAGTCTGTGGAGGATGGTACAAAGTGGACAGTCTCCTTCCCATCATATTCCATACATGTTCGATAGGATTCAAATCCGGAGCACGGGGCGGACACGGCAAAACATTAACTCCAGCTTCTTGAAGAAAGTCCATAGTTTGACGAGCAATATGGGTATGCGCGTTATCTTGTTGAAACAGGACGTCTCGACGGTCGTCGAGATAAATCAGTAAAGTGGTTTGTAAGATGTCATCAACATAACGCGCAGCTGTCATATTGCCTCGAATAAACATAAGTGGTGATCGGCTACCGTAGTCAATAGCCTCCAAACCATTACTCCAACTGTCCTGTGTACATGCCTCTTAACAACAAACCAGATATCTCGTCGCTCTCCACGTTGGCGTCTTACCATCTTACGACCATCATGCATTCCTAAACAGAATCGTGATTCATCGCTGAATGCTATATTACGCTATTCTGCCACCCAAGGCGATCTATTTCGCCATGGCGACAGCGGAGGTATAGCTGGTCCGTTGTCATGGTGGAAGAGCACTTTTTTCTTCGCTAAATGGTGTCGTTTTTTCTTCAATTCGGCGTCGAGTCGGTCCAATAAGTCGGCCTAGTAGAGCCCTCTGACCGTTTTGCCATTCTCTAATGGTCATCAACGTAGATCACCCCTTGTGACTCCCAGAAAATGGTGGCCATCACCTTTCCGGCCGATATGACAGTCTACGTCTCTTTCGGAGTACGTTCGCTGGTTGCCGCTACTGTTTCATCTGTTTCTTGGTCCCTGGTGTGTAGCAATGGATTCATGTTTCTTCAATGGTTCTTCAAATGACGTAGACTCTCCTTCGGATTACGCATAAATAGTGTCAACTGCTCTCACGGTTAAGTCTGTTGTCCGAAGTGAGCAAACAGGATAAGACATTCTCGGTTTTTTGAGACGGCTACTGTCTCAGCTATCTGCCAATATAAAATCGTGGATTTTTGTCCCGTTATCCTTCGTGGTAGCCGATTTCAAGGCACCTGGGCGCGGCTTATCAAAAACCGATGTGCAACCACGTTAAACCAATTTTTGGGGGTTACCATCGAAGGTGAAGAGTCACCGTACACAGCATCCAAGCGCTCTTTCATTTCACTGCGCGATTTTCCTTGCAAAACAAGAATCGAATCACCGACCGATATTGCTCTTTTTCCATTTTTCTAAAATCCGCGGATACGCTCGCTTTCTCACGCGGTCAAAACGAAACTAGGAGTCGGATCGGATTCGGCTGAAATTTTAACATTTATGAAATTTTGTCTACGAGAATGTATTACACGATAGTATGATAGTGGCGCCATCGGGCGGTGAGGCTAAGTACTTATCGGGCCGCCTATGTACATCTAACGGTAGGTGTTTCATGAGATTGGAAAACGAAGATAATTTAAAATTATATCCAATAATTGTATTATAAGCTAAGATAATTGCATAAATCTAAAGGAGTCTTGAGGGAAATTTATTTAATTCTGTACCATACAATAGTTATTTGGCGGTTATGTTTTCCATATTGACGGGTGACTTATTTGACCTCCGATCTTGTGGACATATAGCCATGCTTTTAATATAAAATCCACAACTTAATAAGAGTTATTATATTCTCATTTTTCCAAAATAAACTGTCTAATTTACATTCTTAGCTTCAGTAGTAACTAACTGGCATTTCTGATATAATTTTATTTGTCTAAATAGGTAGACGACGAAGAATTGGGAGTTGCTGAAACGTACGCCGACTATATGCCATCGAAACTGAAGCTAGGCAGGAAACATCCCGATCCCGTTGTCGAGACAGCTTCGTTATCTAGTGTAGCTCCCGCCGACGTTTGGTATGAACTGTCTTTACCTGACGATACTATAAACAAAGGGCATTTGTCTGCTTTACAGTTGGAGAGTATTACATATGCTTCACAAGCACACTCACATATATTACCAAATAAATCGAGGGCTGGATTCTTGATAGGTACGTTGTTCAATTAAAACTAGAAATTTTTGAAAAACAAATATATTTTGTTCTCTATAAGTCGAAATCATGAATATATAATAAACTTTAATTTTAAATATACACACATCAAAAGGACACCTATATTAATAGCTTTAAATCAATCTTAGCTGCAAAGACAATGTGTATTTTAATTTATTAACACAACATTTATTCACTTAACCGTACGACTGACTCGTACAATCTAATTTCCTTTATATATAGTAAAATCATTCTTCGAAATATTCTTCTAGAACGATGTTGAATTCTTGCATCAGAACAACCGTAACGCTTCTAGGGATGCCACGAAGTTTCGGTCAGGTCGTAGCAAAGCTGGCGTAACATAACCAATATACTACTTTTGGTTTTAGTCCACAGGTTTTACCTACAACTCTTCTGCAGTTCCAGAAGAGTCCGTAGCCCTGTTGGTTATGTTGTTAATACGAGTGCTCCAATTGAGTTTGAAATCCAGGTTTACCCCTAGATACTTAACCTCATTGGTTTTTTCTAGTTCCTCCCCAAATAATTTCAGCTCACTCAGTAGATAGAGTCCAGTAAGCTTCCTCTTATTAGTAAAGACTACTAGTTTAGTTTTAAAAGGGTTTAGAGAGAGGTTCTCCCACTTCTCTATTTAATGAAGGGCATTTCCCATCTGATCCGCAACAGTAGTGGTAAATTTTCCCCTAGTCAACTATTACAATATCGTTTGCGAAACCCTGGACACAGATTCCTTCACTGGTAAGTAACCCCATGAATCAGGTCATCAACATATATATCCATAATGTTTATTACAATACACCCGCGAAAATACACTCCCTTGAGGGCACCCTTAGTTGCCCTCCGGTTTATGTAATCTTCATACGCATCAATATTATTCTAATCTGAAGCTGAGTTCCGACGCTAGATTGTGCAGAGGATTCACCGGATTTCCCTGCTTGGTACACCCATTGCCGCTGGTTTAGTGGAGTTTTATTTATATTATTTTTCTTGGTGTATTCATTCAAGATTTTTTCAATGGTTTTCAACATAAATGAAGTCAGACTTATTGGCCTGTATTATTTTTCTGTGGTATAATCTGTTTTTGCTAGTTTAGAAATAACCGCCACCCTCGCTCTTCTGGGAATGTACCCCAGAGCATGGTTAGCTCTAAATCACGGATTATGGGCCCCTATTGGTTCATATGGTTCTTCTCGTTATTTATTTTTAATAAGATATTGATTAATTTTATGAAGAGTAGCGTTCACTCTATTGACAGTATTGCCAAATAATTTTCAAAATAATAAGATTACAATCAATGAAACGATCAACGTGGGTGGTCCCAGAAGTATCCAACTCAACAAAGAAAAAAAAAACAATTATGGGAAAAATGTATTTATTTTTCAACGAAATCCGCCGTTTAGCTCCATAAACTTTTCACATCTATGTTCAATAAGTTCGGTACCCTTTTTACAATAAGTACTGTCTTGCTTTTCAAAATAGACATCGCCATCAACTGTTGAGCTCACTTCTTCACGTTTGACACATCTTAAACCATGGGCCATTTTTTGGTCTTGATGATACTTGATTTCTTCACTCTAACGTTGCAATAAGTTAGCTTAATACTCAGCGTTAATAGTTTTTCTCTTTTCAAGATAGTCAATGAAAATTATCCCACGCACACCCAAAAATTCGACATGACCTTGTCGGTCTTCGTCTTCTTTGGGACGGGTTCTTCATTGTAAGTCCATTGTTTTAATTGTTCTTTTCTCTCGGGATGAAGTAATGGATCCACGTTTCATCCATGATTATGAAAGAGCTCAAAAATTCTGCTTTATTGTCGTAAAACTTTGCTAAACACTTAATTGAAACATCTTCACGGCACTGTTTTTGCTCGAGTGTAAGCAACGCAATACCCATCTTGTACAGAGCTTTCTGATGTTTAAATTTTAAATTAATATGAAACGTTTTGAAATTCCTACTAAGTCTGCTAGCTAGGACACTCTCAGTCGATGATCATTTAGTACCATTTTGTGAATTTTCTTTACCGTTTCTGGAGTCTAGTCGACCACTGCGGTGCTCGTCTTGGTAGCTCGTACGGCCTCGTTTAAACTTTGCTAGTCAATATTTTACTGTTGTAAACGAAGGACCAGACTCACCCAGACAACGATTTCTTCTAACTAATAACCTATTCACATTCGGTACTATTATTAGTATATTATTAGTAGAATAGATTGTTTCGATACACGAGCCCTTCTATAATTTCCTCCAACGTCACACACCTCTCTGGAAGTGGTCTCGTTTCCGGAAACCACGTGATAGGAAACACCAACAGAAAGTTGCTACAACGTCATATAAAATGGTAATTTAATCTTGTAATCTCACCTCTTGTGTCACATATTCAAAAAGTGCATTCAAAATTAGTTTATTAATTGTTTCTCTAATTTGATTAATTGTTTTGAATATTATAGTATTTGTATAGAGACATGGATATATTATTAACATCTTATTTATTTTAGGTGATGGTGCCGGTGTTGGTAAAGGCCGTACCATAGCCGGAATCATCTTCGAAAATTACCTGAAAGGCCGCAAGAAAGCTATCTGGGTTTCAGTATCGAACGATCTCAAATATGACGCCGAACGTGACTTGCGAGACATTGGAGCCGGGAAAATAGATGTGCATCCTCTCAACAAACTCAAATACGCCAAAATCAATTCCAGTACCAATGGCAACGTGAAGAAAGGAGTGGTGTTTAGCACTTATTCCGCCTTGATTGGAGAAAGCAACTCGGCCGGGGGAAAATATAAATCCAGACTGAAGCAGTTGTTGCAGTGGTGTGGAGCTGATTTCGATGGACTTATAGTTTTTGACGAGTGTCATAGAGCTAAGAATCTATGCCCCGTTGGCTCATCCAAACCCACCAAAACTGGTAAGTACGCAACAAAAGATCAGCGTCATGATATAAGATACCAATAGATAAGGAAACATTGATTTAATATTGTTCTGAAACTATTTTCTTGTGGCATTGTAAATTAATTACTATTTATAACTGGGAATAAGCCACAATTAAAGATAAAAATACGTTTATTGACGTTTCAATTTCCAATTCGGATATCGTTCTCAAAATACAAACAGTAAATTAAACAAATTTTGTTTTTTGTTACATAGTGAAAAAATTCTTCTACTAATTTAATTTTATCTGACTCATTTATATTGACAATTCAGACATACATTATGCATTTTAAAGTAGACGACTTTAAAATGATATTGCCAATATTGATAGAGCCAAAATTACTTGCTCTAACGAAAATTCGTTCTTGGAGGAGAAACATTTGTTAACATCTGTTTTATTAAAAAATGATTATCCTTTATCGTTTATAAATAAGGAATTTTCAACAATCGATCGAATAGAACAGAACAACTTAGAACGAGATCCTACAGCATACACAAGGAATAATATGAGGAAAATAACAATACCGTACATAAAAGGATTATCAGAAAAACTTAAAAGGATAGGAAATAAATTCAACATTTCAACAACATTCAAAACAACAAACACGTTGAGATCTATTTTGTCCAAAACCAAACCTAACAATGAACAAGAAAGGACAAAGAATTGCATTTATAAAATACCTTGTGAATGCGATCAGTTTTATTTAGGTGAATCATCAAGGCCATTAAATGTTAGAATAAGTGAACATCAATCTTATATTAAAAATAGAGAATTTGATAGATCTCAAATATGTAAACACGCATGGGATAATGAACATAGGGTTCAATGGAATAATTCAAATATAGTCCTAAAAGAAACGGATGGTAAAAAAAGAAAAATCAAAGAAGCGGCTCTAATTATGCTAAATGAGGCCAATTGTGTCGCAAATTCCTCAGCAGAATGTAGTAGGATCTGATTACCAATATTGAAAGAGGAAGTTATTAATAAGAAAATACCAGTATTAGTAAGTCAGTAACATATAGAGGATACATCATTTATGTTTTTTAAATAACGTAACATATAAAATCAGAATTTTGATGTTTGTTGAAGGTAAACTAAATTCACGAACAAATACTTACAATGTCGGGATAGTATTATGAGGTTTTTTTCCTGGTTTTTCCCTCATAATTTACTATGGAATCGCTAACAGGAGAATTTTACTGTCATCATGTCATGTGTTTGTCTTTTTAAAGACGAATTACATGCTATGATTTTTTCTGACGGATATTCTCAAGTTAAAGTTGATTTCATGTAATCGAATGAACTATCTTATAAGTAAAGTCGTCCCAGGAGCGCAACTCAACAATATTGGCAATATCATTTTAAAGTCGTCTACTTTAAAATGCATAATGTATGTCTGAATTGTCAATATAAATGAGTCAGATAAAATTAAATTAGTAGAAGAATTTTTTCACTATGTAACAAAAAACAAAATTTGTTTAATTTACTGTTTGTATTTTGAGAACGATTTCCGAATTGGAAATTGAAACGTCAATAAACGTATTTTTATCTTTAATAATTGTGGCTTATTCCCAGTTATAAATAGTAATTAATTGATTTAATACTTTATTGACAATATTAAAAAAATACAAATTTGTTTATTTATTATACCTTTTGTCCAATCACCATACTAGTGTTCATTATAAGATGTCCATTGTGTATCTTTATGGACTACGAAGAATATTTTATTTTCTCCCATTCAGAATTAAAAGAAAATTATTGTTTCTATACAGAATATATAGAAAACTGTTCTGACTAAAACTCTTTCCGTCTGGAACTTTTTAGTATTTATGTTAGATTTTTTCCTCTTTTAAGGTCTGACTGTCCTCGAACTACAAAATAAGCTTCCTCAAGCGAGGGTTATCTATGCGTCAGCTACCGGAGCCTCAGAACCAAGAAACATGGCCTACATGGTGAGATTAGGATTGTGGGGAGAAGGTACACCTTTCAAAGAATTTGCAGATTTTATATCGGCAGTTGAAAAGAGAGGTGTAGGAGCTATGGAAATTGTAGCCATGGATATGAAGTTAAGAGGAATGTATATAGGTAATTATTATACATTAGATACAATTTTACGTCAGTCTTTGACTTCCAGCGTTGTAACCATATCTATTATTTCTAGCGAGACAACTTAGTTTTCATGGTGTAGCTTTTAAGATAGAAGAAGTTCCCCTTTCCAAAGATTTCGAAAAAGTATACGACGCCAGCGTGAAGTTGTGGGTAGAAGCCATGCAGAAGTTTCACGAAGCTGCTGAGCTAGTCGACGCTGAAAATCGAATGCGAAAAACTATGTGGGGACAGTTCTGGTCATCGCATCAACGGTTTTTCAAATATCTTTGTATAGCAGCTAAGGTAAGCATTTTATGTATATTTCGATTATTATTAAATTTCTAGACATACAAGAAGATAACAATATATCCTTGATACACTGATAGATTTTTCCAACACTTCACTGGTCACTGAGTACTTCAAAGGGTATATTAAGAAAATTTCAGCTCTTCAGCTGATGGCAGTCTATACGGGTCCATTCAATGATGAACAAATAGATGAACAGATTGAGCTACTTTCCAGAGTACTTTTGGAAACCATTGAAGAGGGACACTATGTCAGCTCGACATATCAATTTGATAGCACGAGATAATTCATTAAAAAACAGAGTTTATACAAAAACTTCTCATAAAACACTTTAAACTCTCTCTAAACATTTTAAAACGTAATTTCCAACGTGATAAATGAAATCTTAGGGAATTCCTATGACAAACAGAGTGGAAAAAAATGCTACAAGTTGCATTATAAAGAAATTACCTTTGCAGTAAATAATACTGAAAAAATTCCTAAACTAAGAATAACTAACAGCCTTAAGAGACCTATTTCTCACATGTCTTGCTTGCTAGAATCTTTAGAATGGTGGCGTGACAACAAAAATATATTTTCAGTATCTCATTATGGCTTTCGGAGGAATAGATCCATTGACTTTCTTTCGCAATTGATAACTGACTGATATTCAGTTTGTTGAAGATAGACGATTGTATTTATTTTCAATTGAAGCTTCCTCATTCTCCATACGTGTCTTTCTTCTCCTGGCGCTCATACTGGAAACTTGTGGTAGCTTGAATGGAAATGAAATACTGTGTATCTATATGACCGTTATAGTGACATAGCATGTCTGTGTACGCTAATAGTGACCTACATATGAAGCAACAAGCAGTCTGGAGACTTATTTTCGATGAAGAAAGAAGTCTCCTGATTTCCTCTTGCTTCATACAGAGGTCGCTACTTGCGTACACAAATACGTTATGTTACTATATCGGCCATATAGTTGTCTACTTTCATTTTAGCGCCTTTTTCCTACAACACTTATAGAACGAATGTGGAGTTCGAATTGAAACAAGTGTAAATTATAGATGTATTGTCGGAATAAAAGCTTATTCCTAACATCGTCCAATCTATCCCAGCAAACTTGGATTAGCAGTTTACCTAGTTCGCCATCGAAGATTCTGACTTCTTTTTGCTTGACATTCAGTTATCTTACTCAAATAATAATTATCTATCTGCCAATTTCTTGATACTCAGATGCTTATGACAACATCAATTTAAATCTTGATTTCGAAAAACTAAGGCACATAGAGACACCAACTTTGTGTGTTTTTTTTAATGTTTCACATTTTTTGTAAATTTTAGGTACCGCATGCTGTAGCAGTCGCACACGAAGCTATAAAAATGGGAAAATGTGTAGTAATAGGTTTACAAAGTACAGGGGAAGCGAGAACTTTGGAACAGTTAGAAAGAGATGACGGAGAATTAACCGATTTTGTTTCTACTGCCAAAGGTTTGTAGCATTTATGCACTATTATTGTAAATTAAGAAATCATTATTAATCTGTTTTATAGGCGTATTTCAAACTTTGGTAGAGAAACACTTTCCAGCTCCTGATCGGAATCGTATCCATAAGCTTTTAGGTTTGGAACCCGCTCCTGCTAAAAAAGCTCCTGCTACAAACGGAAACGATGAAGGGAACAGTTCTTCAGGAAAACGTAAACCAGGTGAATAATTAATTAGTATATATAATCTAGATAAGAGATTTTAAAGAAATAACACTAAGGAAAGGGTAACGTTCTTGGCCTTGTAGTGAAAGGATGAGGTTGTTTACTATTTTTTGCAAAAAATCGTTATTTAATCAATCTACTCTTCCTTTAGTTCAGTATACATTACATTATACTTCTTAGATTTCGATTCTTTTTTGCTTGTTCTTTACAATTCGTCACCTGTTTCCCTTTATTTTGTTGTTTGTTCTTATACCCAGCTTTCTTCTATTGAGTTCTTCTGTAAAGTGTGTCACACTCTTTCGTCTCAACTACCTACAGATTTTAATCGTCCATCACCTACAATTATATTGCGAATCATTGATTTCTTAAGTTTATTCATTGTATAATAAAGAATCTAAATCTTTAAACTGTTATACAATACGTTTTTCTAATGTAACAAAGCAGAGTAAAATTAAGAGGCCTAGGTAGCACAGAGGTGAGTGTATCTGCCTTTGGCCCCGAATCATATTGATTCGATTCTCTCTCACTACAAAAGCAAACGGTATTGCTCGGTTCGCTGCTTTAAAGACCCTGACATAGTCGTTCGGACTCGAAGTTATCATCATCCAGCCTTCATTTATCACGTCCACTGCTGATACGCCTGATTTTTCGTGATACGCCTGATGTCGCCAACGTGTAGGTGGTCTTCCTCTACTACGTTTGTCTGCTCTTGGCCTCCAATGTCTAATTTTGCTCGTCCATCGTGAGTCATGCATTCTCGCTACATGGCCTACCCATTCCATTCGAAGTTATACTGTAATCAAAATTGGGTATTGTACATTGAGAAGAAGATAACAAAACGGTAATCTCATGTACAGCAGCGCCACCTATAGGTTACGTCAAGAACTTTTCACCTTGACTTCAAGTGTGTAAGCAACTTTAAAAATTCATTTGGTAAATAACATTTTCGTGGCCTTTAGCTGAACAACACAACACATATTTCGTTTGTTCTTCTTGTCAAGTACTTTATAATAGTGAAAGTCTAACGCTGTTTTAATTATGTCACAGTTCGACAAGCGGCAGCTCGAGCAAATAAACGAAACAAATGGTCAACGTCAGACACCGAAGAATCGATTAAAAGCGACGGTTCCGATTTCGAAATGTCAGAAGTGGAAAGTGAAATATCCGAAGAACATTCCGATTCCAACGTCAGTAGTGATTTCAATCCATTCCAGTCGGGCAGCGATTCCGATGACGATCCTTGGAATAGAAAGAAAAAGGGAAAGAAACAGAAAAAGCCCCCGAAAAAGAAGATTTCCGCTCAGGATAAACTGTCGTTGATGTTGAGTAGGAAGACCAATAAAGGTTTGTATTGTGCTTAGTTTTAATAATCATTAAGATCTTTTTTGTTTTATTAATTGTTTGATATTTGAAAAAGTGTATTTTGTTTATTGACAAGCATTGCATTTTACTTTGGTAATTTAAATTTTTATACATGATTTTGTGCTGATTTATACAAAAAATTTAGATTGAGCTAAATTTTTGCGATACTTTCACAGCTAATAAACCAAACGGGAGCGGTTTCCCACCTGTAGCCCCACCGATGGATGCCATCGAACGCGCCTGTAGCATGAAAGAAGAATTATTGACAGCTATCGAAAAGTTGGGAGAAAAACTACCGCCTAATACATTGGATCAGCTCATAGACGAACTGGGAGGCCCAGAAAATGTCGCTGAGATGACTGGTCGTAAAGGACGAGTGGTGTCGACGGAAGACGGCGGAATTCAGTACGAGAGTAGGTCAGAAAATGATGTTCCTTTAGAAACATTAAATCTGACGGAAAAACAAAGGTTTATGGATGGCGAGAAAGATGTGGCTATTATTTCAGAAGCTGCATCAAGTGGTGAGTGTATAAACGAACCCACCAATTTAAAGAAATGGAGTTAAATTTGATAAATATGTATATAATTTTTTTATTTGTTGTTTTATTTCTGCATTTTCATTAATATAGGTAATGTATGTAAAAATCTTAAAAATATTGGGTTAAGTTTAGAAAACCATAGATAGATAGATAGGTTTATTGACAATTTTTACATAGTAAACACTACATGTCATGTCACAATAAAAATAAGTCACTTTTGTATACTAAGAACTAAGAAATAATACAAGAACACATAATAAAACATATACAGTGAAAATTAGATATTTAAAATTATAAAAAAAAAGAAACAATTCAGTAAGGCGTAATATAGTTTTCATAAAAAACGACCACATTAGGAGCTCAAACAAACAAATTCCTGTATACTATAGAAACAGTGTTCCAGCAGGAAGTGTTTTGCTAGTTTATAAAATTGTTTAAAATTCATTGCCTTAATATCAATATTTTTGTTTAGGTTTAAAAAACAATTATACAGATTATAATCTATTGTATTAAGTTGTGTAACACACAATCTCGAATATGGTATAATGATATGACTTTTATTTCTTGTATTGTAATGATGTTGATCAGCATGTGTTTTTACATCTTGTATATTATTATGAACAGTTAACAAAGTTTCAAATATATATATTGAAGGTAAAGGAAGTGAGGCATAGCAAAAATCTGTGAGGCGAGCCTCTTACACAATCGTTCAATATGATGCGACCAGTTCAACCTTGTATCCGTAGTAACACCTAGTAACTTTACTGGTTCAGATGGTGTAACCCATCTATCAGAGCTAAATACTATTGTCTGGGTTTTCTGCTCGTTTAACTTAGTTTGTTACAGTTAAACCAGGATTTAGATTTTTCTTATATTTTCTGACTGTAATCAGTTTTACCTCTACATAATAAGGTTGTGTCATCTGCAAAAAGAACACAGTTGGTGTTATTTAATGCACTTGGTAAATCATTTATATATATCCCAAAACTGATCCTTGTGGTACTCCGGTTAAAACTGGTAGAGGTTCAGATTCTTGATTATTAAATGCAACAATCTGTGTTTTTCCTGTAAGATAGGATTTTAAAAGGTCATGTATGGTACCCCTTATTCCATAGTACTCCAATTTTATCAATAGTGTTTGAATATCCGTACAATCAAAAGCTTTTGTAAGGTCACACATTAAGCCATTAGTAGGTTCACCTGCATCAAAACCGTGAACAATATGTTCTATTACTTCTAATAAAGCTTTAGTTGTTGAGTATTTTTTTCTAAAACCGAATTGAGAGCTAGATATAATTGATTTGTTATCCAAATAATTTGCTATACGATCTTTATTTAGATTTCAAAAATTTTACTTATTGTTGGTATTATGGTAATAGGTCTGTAATTGTCTGGAGCATTTTTATTTCCTTTTTTATGAAGTGTAATTACTTTTGATATTTTGAATACATCAGGCCAGTAACCCTAGTTAATACATTTGTTAAATATTATTGTGAGTGGTTCAACAATTGTATCAAGCGATTCCTTAATAACTTTACTGTTAAAACCATAGTAGTCGACACATGAGGAATTTTTTAATTTGTATATGCATTCTTTCACGTCAGATGCTACTATTGGAGACATAAAGAACGAACTTGACCTTCTAGGTAGCCTGCTAAGATAGTAGTTTATGTCATGCTCAGAGTCTCCTATTGATTTCGATATAATATCTGCTATATTCGTAAAGTATTGGTTAATTTCTTCTGGTGTTAAGTTCAGATTAGACGTAGTATGTTCCTTATAGGTTTCTTTTTTAACAATACTCCATATTGTCTTACTTTTGTTGGTGGATTTGTTAATAATAATAATAACATAACATAACAATAATAATAACATAACTCTTGTTATTTGATTTTGTTATTAAAATGCATAAACATTTATTAATTTAACGGGAAAAAAACAAATATTTATAAAAAAATTAAGTTTATTAAAAAAAAGTGGCTTAACATGTTCTTCGATTTAAAAAATCGTAACACTATATTGGAAAAAAATAATAAAATTTAAATATCTACAATTTCCACTTCCTCATTATCATTATCAGTAGCTTCTTTTAGCTGATTATATACGATTTTTTAAATCGAAGAACATGTTAAGCCACTTTTGTTTTAAATAAACTTAATTTTTTTATAAATATGTTTTTTTTTCCGTTAAATTAATAAATGTTTATGCATTTTAATAACTAACAAAATCAAATAACAAGAGTTATGGTTTTCTAAAGTTAACCCAATATATAAAATAGAATTCTGTAACATTATGGCTTACCATTATGTTGCAATAAGCTCTTCAGGCTGAAACTGAATCAAAATTGCAAACGGAAATAGAATGGTCATATATTCTGTTTTGGATTCTTTGATTGATTTGGTTTCCATTATTCAAATAAATGCCAAAAAGTTATTTAAGTGCGAACTTAACTCTATTCTTTAAATTACTAAATCTTTCGGTGTGTACAACTATATTTTGTACATCTATTTCATGTATTTTCATTGTTAAAAAGTTTTCTGTGATTAATATCAATATTTATTTTTTTAAATAGGTATTTCTCTTCAGAGTGACAGGCGAGTTAAAAATCAAAGACGTAGGGTACACATCACATTAGAATTACCTTGGTCGGCCGATAGGGCTATTCAACAATTCGGAAGAACTCACAGGAGTAATCAAGTTAATGCTCCTGAATACATTTTCCTTATTTCTGATCTTGCTGGAGAACGAAGATTCGCCTCCATCGTCGCAAAAAGGTAAGCAAACAAATATTCTGTGTTCAGATTTTTAATTCGTTCTATTAATAACGTGCCATCAAAAATAATCGTAGTTGAGATGGGCTATGACGTCAACCTTTTTCAAAGCTTATATATAGGTTGCGTTAATAAAAAACAAACCAAAATTAAAATCAAACAAAATTCAATTAAAGTAGTAGCTTAAGCTATTAAATAATGCTCAAAATCTCTCAAATGATTTCTTAAATGTTGCTGTAGATATTCCAAATAACTCTAAACTATTGCTGTGCTCATTGGCAGTTCGTAAAATTCTTGTAATGGGTTCATTTTGGCCATAATTCGTAGTGTGGAATGGAATGTTGAAAATCTCAGTGTTACGAGTTCTTCTAGTATTAACATTAAAATTTATTAAACTTAGTAACTCTGGATCTTGGACATATCCATTTATAATTTTAAAAAGAAAACATAAATCCGCTTGACATCTTCTATCATGTAGTGATGAGATATTTAGTATTGACAGTATATCATCATATGTGTATTGATGTCTAATAAAACCAATTTTGTAAGCACATACCCTCAAGAATTTATTTTGAACTCTCTCGATACTGCAGATGTCACTGTTATATTAAGGAGACCAAATGAGAGAACCATACTCCAAAACTGATCGAACTAAACTACAGTATGACATTTTTAAAGTTTGTACTGAAAACTGATTACAGTTTCTAAGAATAAATCCCAACATTTTTAAAGCTATAGCTGAAGTTTCGTTAATGTGATATTTAAAAGTTAGTTTAGAATCAAAATTTATACTTAAATCTTTAATATTATGACGTGCCTCTAAAGGTACATTATTTATACAATAATCATAATTTACAAACTCTCTTGATCTTCCAAAAGTAATTTTAAAACATTTTTGTATATTTAAGTATAGCATGTTTACCTCACACCGACTAGCTAAGCTTTTAATGTCATTCTGTAACAAAGAGGCATCAACTAGGTCATTAACTATTCGAAATATTTTAAGGTCATCAGCAAACATTAGAAATTTACTATTTTTAATCACTGAGGATATATCATTAACAAATATATTAAATAAGAGAGGTCCAATATGAGACCCCTGAGGTTACGGATACTCGTTGAGATAAACAATTTCCATATTTAACATACTGACATCTACCAGATATATAACTACCTATCCACTCAATTATTATACCTCCAAATCCATAGCCATTTAATTTAGCAATAAGCAGATCATGGTTAACTCTATCGAAGGCTTTTGAGAAGTCTGTGTAGATAGCGTCAACCTGACCCTTCTGTTCCACTGAATTAGCTATAAAATTCATATACAATATTACGTTCGTGCATGTAGACTTACCCTTAGAAAAGCCATGTTGTCCAACATCAATTAAATCTTTACAATTCCATGTCAAAAAGTTATTTACAAGACACTCAAAAAGTTTGGGTAATACAGATTGGTTACAAACCGCTCGATAATTTTCAACATCATTTTTATTACCAGATTTGAAAATTGGTGTTAAATAACTAGTCTTCCAAAGATTAGGAAAGATGCCGGTACTCAATGAGGAATTAAATAAGTAGCAGATAGGTTTTACAAGAGTAAAAATGCAATGCTTGAGAACATAAGCTGGCAAACAATCTGGTCCAAGCGATAATTTCCAAGGCATCTTTAAAACACTATCAATTATGTCAGAGATCTCAATACTATAATTATTCACATTTACACTCTACTGATAGTTAAAAATTGGGGTCTGATTAATTTTAGAATTAGAATATGTAGTTGAAAAAAACTTACCAAATAGATTAACTAGTAGTTACTATAACATTGAGAGGAGACTTTTTTACATTCATTTCTTAACTGAGAAAATCTAAAATAATCATCCCTTCTACGAAATAACTTATAATGCTTATGTATTTTCTTTTTTAAATATATCAACTTCCTTAATTTACCATTAAACCAAATCGGAAACGAATTTGTTTTACATTTTTTGATCGGAACAAAGAAGTCAAAACTTATAAACATAAAATACTGCTAAGCTGTAATTCACATCATCTGATAAAAGTCCTGTGATAAGAATGAACAGAAGTTTAGTGTTTTTCTGAACTAATATTAATAAATGGCAATTAATGGAGTAACTTACGTTCTTGTTCTTTTTTAGGTTAGAAAGTTTAGGTGCTCTGACCCACGGTGACCGTCGAGCGACCGAAACGCGTGATCTCAGTCAGTTCAACATCGACAACAAGTACGGTCGTTCTGCGCTCGAAGCGACCATGAAGGCCGTAATGGGTTATGAACAGCCAGTAGTCCCGCCCCCACGAGACTACAAGGGCGACTTCTTCAAAGACATCGCCGCGGCGTTGATCGGCGTGGGGATGATTGTAAATAGCGAAAATATGCCGGGAGTGCTGTCCTTAGATAAGGATTATAATAATATGTCCAAGTTCCTTAATCGTATTTTGGGTATGCCCGTAGAATTGCAGAATAGGCTATTCAAGTAAGTGCATTTTTTAACACTTTTTTGAAACTGCCTAAAATTAAACTATTTTATAGGTGATAAAGTTTAATTTTTAAAATTTTTTCACTCGCACATAATATGTTATTTGAAACCCTCTCAGTTTTATAATTTTAACGAATCTTTCATTTTTATTTTAGATATTTTACTGATACTCTTGCTGCTATCATCACATCAGCAAAAAGATCCGGAAGATTCGATCTAGGTAAGTAATAGTTTACTTCAGTGTCAGATCTAGACATTTGAGAGGGGGGAACTTCCAATGAAACTACAAAAAAGTCATAAATGACAAGTTTTCTTTCATTTTGGACCTTCTTGGGTGATATTTCCTCATTCCCCCTCGTATTTGCTACTGGTTTACTTGGATGATAATTTATTTCCGATATTGGCCGTTTAAACCAGACATGACCAAAGTTTTTAAGGGGAGAGTCAGATAAATTAAAAAGTTATCTAGACGGATCGAAATTGAACAAACCAAAATTTTTATAATATATATGTTCGTTATTAGCTGGTGGATTTGGCGATGTAGTGCGTCTCCCCCATATTTCAGAAATTCTGATGGTATCTCGTCCGTACCCGGCGCTTTGTGATTTTTCAGCTTATTTAAGGCCTTTTGGGTTTCTTCAAAGAAGAGATTTTTGACGGGCATGCCCGCTGTCTTCTTTATCCTCTTCTTCTCTCGCTCTTTATGTCTGTTTATAATAATATAAGGACAAAATTAAGGATACTTAATGTTATTACTGGTATTTTTTTAAGGTATTCTGGATCTTGGTGCTGGAGGAGAACTAGTGAAACGAGTTCGCACGGTGACGTTCCTAAGAAAACACGCGACAGGTATCGCTCCCACAGAACTTCATACTGTTCATGTGGAACGAGGCATGGCGTGGCCAGAGGCCTTAGAAAAGTTTTCAGAACTTATTGGAGAGCATGAAGGTTTGTATTTGAGAGATTATATTAAATGAAAATTAATACAACTGCAATAATATAATAATTTCTCCATGAAATATATATTTTACTCTTGTAGGTTTCTGGATATCACATCAAATTCGCAACGGTAAAACGACCGCCATCTTAGCCGTTGCTGTGGATACTGGCGGCGGTGGAGGAGGCACCAAAGGAAAAAAGGAAGGTAAAAAGGAAAGCAAGAAAGATATGATGTTTTCCGTGTATAGGCCGAATACAGGGTTGCAATTCAGACAGGAGAGTTTGGCTGAACTAGAAAAAAAATACAAAAAAGTGAGTTTTTTTTATTTTCTGACTATTTTTATTATAGAGCTCAATATAACGCTGCTTGCTGAAGAAGCTGCTCATACTTGATAATCTTAATCCATTAAAACCCAAGACAATTTTTTGAAATAATTTATTTATGTTTTACTGACCCTAAGTTTTATTAGGAGTATTACTATAAGCAAAAAAACAAATGTAAGTTATACTGAATAACTTAAGGTATACAACATATACATATATATGTCCCATCTGCGGACAATGGGATAAAGTGTTAAAAAAATTAAATTTTAGATTACTTGTCTAACTAAACTAAACTTAAACTAGACAAAAATCAATAAACATCTTTTAAAAGGTAATCTCTTAAACAATCCCTTTCAATGTAAAAAGTCACTGTGAATTTTAAGCAACTCTACCTACCTTTTTTTCTTACACTGGATACACCGTCTTTATTTATCTATTTTTTTTAAATGACCTCCCTCATGACGTCGTACATTTGGTGGTAATTGCACAGTAGGTCGGTTTCTCGGTTTTGTCGATTTTTCATTCCAAGCTAAATAACCACCGTCATTTTTTACCTCTAACAGAAATCCTGTAGTTGCGTACTGCCTGGTCTTGTAAATCCTGCACCCATGCATTTATTATACATACTGAAAATGTGTGTCTGCTGCACATCTACCTTATGTTTAGCTACTGATGACCAGCGCTTGACCATACTAATAGGTTGCAGTTTGTCATACTTCGTAACAATTGAGACAGTGTTATTGTCCTATCATCTGAATCGCTGACTCACTATCATAATAGTGTTCAAAAATACCTCTTTGTTTCTTTTTGAATAGTTGTACTTTTGCCATCGGACATTTTTGAGTTCGGTTTTCTCTTATCGTACCAGCGGCACGATAACCTTTATGTCTTAGCATTTTTAGTAAACCAGTAAAATAATTGTCGAAAAAAATTACATGATCAGAGGGCACTGCAACAATTTTGGGAAGATGAAGAACTACCCGAGATCCTAAGGGTAAATCGTAAGCTTGAGGATTTCCTTTAGCAACACAATAAGTGTCAAAGCCATAACAATATCCTTTGGAACTGCACAGCATCCAGTTCTTATAACCAAAGCGCACTGGATTTCCCTTTGTATATTGTTTACTGGAATCATCATCATCATCCAGCCTTCATTTATCACGTCCATTGATGGACATAGGCCTCCCTGAAACTCCTCCATTACTGAAATGCCGACCATAAAACTTTACCATGGCTTCGTGGATTGCCAAGTTTTCGTGTCCCATTATTGGAAACGCCCCACTATTGAAACCTTTGATTTAAAAGTGAAATTAGTGGACGCAATTTAGCCATTTTGTCATGAATATCCAGATTATCGTTATCTACTGAATATACCTTTGGATTTTCTGGAATCGGTTTCTTGACATAATTTTTACGACCAAGATCTTCATCAATGAGTGATTTATGAGTGAAATTGCCACAAAAAGTTTGAGATCAGCTTTTAAAACAAAGAAGTCGTGTCTATTTTTTTGTGATTTTTTAGAATTTCACAACGGTCATCCCAACCGGAAGTTGCTGGCATACTAATGTCAACAAAATTTTTTGTCCATTTTTGACCGATCTTTATTTTTTTGGTCCGTTTTGACACCGAACAACCCGAAGGTGCACTCGACTCGGCGGTAATTGTTCGCGTATCTGGTTTGCGCAGGTCAGCGGCCATATTTTAAGTTCACAGTCACGTCGTTGACAGATCATTTTGTGTTTGTTGTTAGGTTAGATCACTATTTGTTTCGCTAATAATTTGATTTTGTGCAATCGTAAACACTGACATTGTACACTAAAAAAATGGCGCAAGGTCACCGAATTTGTCTGACAGCTACCAATGTAAATTTATCGGAGTGCACCTTTGGGTTGTTCGGTGGTTTTGATTTCAAGTTGTTTAACTTTTCAAACAGTGGCAAGTTGCCTTCGTCCCCACTTTCTTCTTCATCACTGCTGTTTATATGCTGCAACTCATTTTCACCGACTACGTCTATAGGAAATATATTTTCGATATCTTCTAAATCATTTTCGTCCAAGTTCTCTTCATCGGTCTGTGGGTCAGCATCGGGCAGTAGCAACATCTTGTAAAACAGCATCTAAATGACGATACTTCCTTCCATAAAAACTTTTTGGAGATATTGGTTCTAAATCTTCTGGTTCCATAACAAACTGAAATAAAAATAGGCCTTGCAAAAATAATCACATGTATTTTATATAGACTGCTTCCACCCATTGGCCCCAAACGAGGACACCTAACTTATGTAATCTACAATGTCAGTAAACTCGATAAAATTTGTTGAAAACACAATAACTTACACTCACAACTACTCGTTTGAGTATATTTCTAACAAATGAAATTTTAGTTTTATTTGTCTTGTAGTAAAAGCATGTACCGCTCTTCCAGACAAATGAGTGACCTTTCTTACAAAGTTGTACCTTTTGTTGCGTTGGTCGAACTGATAAATCAGCGTTATAAGTTAAGAAGAAAACAATGTAAACTAACACTCTGTCGTAATGAACTCCTGCTATTTCTCGATAGAAGGCGCTACAGTGGCATTTTATTTGCTGTCTCCAAATGGGCCCAGTGGGATATAATGGGTTAAGAACTTCATTAGCATTTACACATCAAAATTATTTGGACATTTAGAGGATTTTCATCGTTCTATATTATTTACAATTTATTTTGTTTGTAAATTTGTTTCTTTATTTGTTGAGTTACTGGTAACTCATGCCTAAACCATGCTTCACATGACACCACCTCTAGTCGTTAACTTTCACACATAATATTGTTTACATTGGTAGCATTGATTCTAATCGCTTTAAAATATCACCACAAATGGTAATTTTACTACGCGTGATTGTAAAATGTGGGATTAACTTAAAAAAAAAATTCAAAAAATTCGATTTTTTCCCTCCGTTTTTCGCATAAATCTCAAGTACTATATTGACATTTACATAAGATAATGTTATTTTCAAACCTTAAACTAACACAAAAAAACCGTTAGAAAAAGGTTTTTTTGCTAGTATTGAGCTCCCTTTAGCGCTTATTGTTTATATTATATGTATATTTATATGTATATTTTTGTTTTTGTTTTAAGGTGGAATCTGGTGAAGCAGAAAAATCCTGGTCTCAACAATACGACGCTTCTGTAAATACTTGTTCTCATGCATACTGGAGAGGTAATTGCCGGAACGTCTCGGTAGGACACGATTGTGAAGTCGGACTGAGACGAAGAACCTACAACGTAGTGTCTGGTTCGGTATTGTCGGTATGGAGTAGAGTCGAAGGAGTTTTGGCGAGCAAAACAGGCTCGCAGAATAAGATGCAAGTTATACGTTTACGGACCAAAGATGACATTAAAATTGTGGGTAAGTTTAAAAAAAGATTAAATTGATGGTTATAAAACGGTTGTTAACTCAGCAGTCATCGTAATTTCGTCTGGGGCCACATTAATAAAAGTCGTATTCGCGAATTAATTTAAAAGTATGAACATTTTTATATCACTGGCGGTACGAGATCCAGCATATTATCTTAGTCTTTGCGTAAGTCAGTTATTTACACGTAATGTCCACGGGTCCTATTAAATATTAATTCGACATTTTTTAACCTTCTTTAAATTCATACTCAGATAATTTTCTATGTAAATGTTACTAAATTTTTTAAAGGTTTTTTTGATATTTTTTAACATCAACCCATTGACTTTGTATTATAAAGGAACCTGGCACTTTTCTTATGTAAAAGTGGTTTCAGTGAAACTGACATTTCATACAGAGGTTGAAAATGTCGGTTTTTAGTCGATTTGAATAATACATATTTTTATAATATACAGGGGGTTACTAAAGAGTCACTCCTGATGTTTGTTGCACTTATTCAATAACACACTATACAGGGTGTCCCAGACTAATTTACCCACGCTATATCTCTTAAACGAATAGAGATTTTCGAATGGGACAAAAAGTGATCTATTCTACTTGTAATATACCTTAATATGGCGTAGAAAAAAATCATCCCCTAAATAATCATCCCTTAGTTACAGCCCCTAACTTTAATTTTTTTAATAGCACCCTGTGTATTTTTTTTATAGTTTTGGATGTGGTCTTCTATCGTCTATTCAACAGATTTATTAAAAATAAAATCAGTTTGTAAATAATCAAGAAATCAATTTATTTTTTATTATTTTATAAGTATCCCAGACTAAATTATCCAGGTTATATTTGTTAACAAAATTTTTTAAAGGGACAAAAACTGGTCTATTCCATTTGTAATACACTTTAATATAGCGAAGAAAAAATCATCCGCTAAATATTCATCCCTTAGTTACAACCCCTAACTTAAATTTTTTAATGGCACCCTGTACATTTTTTATAGTTTTATATGTGGTCTTCTATCATCTATTCAATCGTTTTTTTTTTTTAAATAAAATGGGTTTGTACATACTATACAATTATATTAACATTATTAAATATAATAACATAAATAGTAATATAATTAAACATAAATATAAACAATTACATAACCTCACAAATCATATGTCTGTGTTATGTATTTCCTTCTAAAACATGGCGCGCGTGCTGAAAAACTTCAAAGGCGGCATCTGAGAGTGGGCATTCTGATTGTTTATTCTGTGGTAATATCCAAGACGTAAAATAACCGCAAAAGTTTTTCAAATATTGTGGCTTTATTATAAGAGATTGATTTGTTAATTTTTGCACACTTAATTTTGCACACTGGAAGATAACGTATGCTCCTACAAAGATCAAATTTTGAAAAATTAAAAATAATGTTTAAATAAAAAGGGTGTGTAAGAAGTTATACTACGTAGTTATAATAGTAAAATTTTCAGTGATAATAAAGCATAATATTTCTTTTCTATTCTATTTTTTAAGGCTATCTTGATTAATTTAACAAAAATAAAAAATAAACTGATATTTTCTTGATACCTTACAAACCCATTTTATTAAAAAAAAATCAGTTAAATAGACGATAGAAGACCACATCCAAAACTAGAAAAAAATGTACAGGGTTCTATTAAAAAAATTAAGTTGTGGGTTGTAACTAAGGGATGAATATTTAGGAGATGATTTTTTTTACGCTATATTAAAGTGTTTTACAAGTAGAATAGATCACTTTTTGTTCCATTCGAAAATCTCTATTCGTTTAAGAGATATAGCGTGGGTAAATTAGTCTGGGACACCCTGTATATTATACAAATATATATATTATTCAAATGAACTAAACACCAACATTTGAAACCTTTGTAACTCACAAGCAATTGATTTCTGCATTTTGGGACAATGAGAACTTTTGATCAGCATGACCAAAGCTACCTTTTTGCAAAGTTTCAGTTCAATTTAACTGAAACAATATTTACATAAGAAGAGTGCCGGGGTTCTTTATTCGTGGCGGCCACTTGCGACTTCGTTTATTCCAAATTTCGCATTGTTATTTTCTGTTTCTGAAGACATAATTTCCTGGTATCAAAAACGTTCGGTTAATGGTTTTAATATTCGTGTCAAAGTTTTGTACAAGCCTCAAAAGAGAAAAGGTTGTCTTATACAGGTTGTTTCATTAATAATTGGAAATATTTTAACTGTAGATTCCTGGACTCAAAATATTAAGGTTTAACACAAATCTCTTAAGTAAAATGTAAACCCTTTAACGTTAACGTAAAAACCTAAACCTAAACGTTAAAAACGTCTTCTTTAAAAATTTTAAAATTATTTGACATATCCTTGTAATACATGACAGGAAGTGTAGTCACTGTACATTTATTTTTCACTTAAAATATTTCGAAAAATAATGACTTTATCGTTACGAATAAAGAGTGTTATTTGCATAAAAAGTATTGGAGAATCGAAAAATTGCGTTAAAATAGCAATTCCGCCAGTGGCGTATAATTTGGGAAGTATCAACCAGTCACCTTCCCCTGTCTTATGCCTCTGGTAGCAGTCAGAAACGTTTATTTAACATAATTTAGTAGAGTGTAATAGTTTTAAAGTACTGGGTACAAATAGTTTTAAATTTTTAAATAAGACAACAGTATGAATGAACTACCCTGTATATTTCTCTATGATCCTTTGTAAAAATCGTAATACATAATGACATGGTTTCGTTACGCCCAGGAGGTTTTAAGTATTTAATTAGACGTACTAATTAATCTTCAACTCATCCCAAGCATGCATGTACCACAGGGGCGTGTGGTTATTTTTGAGGAAAGGGGCGAAACTTAAAGAATGGAATGCAAATTCGCAAAAACTGGGGTTTTGAGATATTTGTATTTAAATGGGAATAAGCCACAATTAAAGGTTAACTTTTTGACTGCTCAACGCATTTTCATGAAATGCGGCCCTATGCTAATCGAGATTTTTGAAAATATTGATTCGGAAATGAAATATTTATTAAATAAAGGGTTATATTAAACATAATTTATATAATTTAATTTAATTCATTTTAAAAAATGACTCGGATCCGAGTCGTGAGCACATTAGTTATATTTTTACTATGTAAAGTAAGTTTATTGACATTGCAATTTCCACTTCGGAAATCGTTCTCAATTGTGGCTTATTCCCATTGAAATAGTAATTACTTTAAAATGCCACAAGAAAATAGCTTCAGAACAATATTAAGAAACCGTTATGGGCGCAGCATATAGGATTTTTCGGAGATTGGAAATTCTTTAAAAGAAAGTGGCTTAATACCAAAGGGCTTGAAGTTACGTCCAGCATATTCAAGCAGAAGGTTGAAAAACATTTTACATAGAGCCAGTTTATCCATGATCTGCAAAAGGTTGCAATTTCATAGATCTAAATAATTTTTAGTTAAACAAGATATTGTAAGTATTGAAGATTTGCTTTTCAATGTGATACAATGTTTGTATTTTAAGAACGATTTTCGAAGTGGAAATTGAAACGTCGATATACTTACGTTAACCTTTAATTGTGGCAATTTTATAGAAAAAGGTTAATTTTTTGCTTAATTATTGCAAAAATAGCTTTGAAAGTGGATTTTTTGAAAGTTATTAATAACTTTTCTAAAAATGCACAAAAAACTTTAATTTTGCGTGATAATAGGGACAATATTACATGTGTTTAGCTATAAAAATTTCAAGAAGTTTCACTTAACAGTTATTGCAAAATTGAAATTGTTTATCCCAGAAAGCTTTTATCTACAACGTTATTATGTGTAAACTTTAGGTCTACGTAAATTTGCACCAAATTGAAGTGAACGGCTTACTTTTTCAAATTAAATCATTTACTTAATGATTAAAAAGTTTTATGTTAAATATTGTAAAATATAAGTATTTGCAAAATTACTGCGATTTTAAGCTTAAAAATTTAGGACACATTAATATATAAAGTTTTTTTTTTTTAGTTGAAACGTTGGTATTTTTGTACGACTTTAAAAAAACTATGTCCTACGACCCTTAAAAACCGTTGGTTTTTTTAATTAACCGAGGCTTTGTTTATAAATATTAAGAAATTTTAAAAGATCTATTTGAAACATTAAAGTTCAAGGTTTGACAAAAAAATCAAAACGATTCTTTTAAAAATGACACGTTTATGATGTTCCAAATATTAAGGATTTAAAGCGAAGCGATTTGCACCTTCGATTTTACTGTTTGAAGAACTGAAATCATAATTTCAAATTTATAAAAGTCGCAATATCTTCGATTCTAATCAATTAAAATTGATTTTTTTTTTAATTTGGGATACCTGGTTGCATAGATTATAAAAATGTAATTAGTTAATTTTTAAATTGTTTAACACAGTAATATGTATAAGCAATTTAAAATAAATATTTATCTTAAAATACTTTACTTTTTTCTTATTATTAGTAGTAGAAAAGGTTATGAAATGATAGGTAACTTAAATATTTGGGTATTATAGTTATAAATTTGTTTTAACAATAAATTTTTGACTTCTGCGTTGGCTTGTGGTTGCCATGAATTTTTTTCTGTTTAATGTTAACCTTCTTATAGAATGGTCTGAATTCTTCTTCTGTTCTTCTTTCTCTCTCTGTTAAGGTTTTCCTCTCACTTTTTCCATAGTATAAAATATGTAGCTGAAACTTTTGAAAGTAATACTAAGTAATATATGCTATCTTATGTTACAGGTACACTCATTCCAAAAAATTGTGTAGACGATTTAGTCAAAGCTCTATCGTCCGACGCGGAAAAGACAGAGGAAAAAACTTTCGAAGATTAAAGAGACTGAAAAGTGAAATAAAACGCTATCATCAGTTGAACACTTGATATCACAAATTTGCCATTGTAATTTTTCGTCCTTAACTTATATTGTTTGTTAATTTTTCGAATTTGTGATATCAATTGTAACTTTTTAGGAAACAAATACAGGGCAAATATAGTATTTTGCGGCACTACAAAAATGAGTTGCATTGTAGTCCAGTGAATCGTAACGTGTGGATTATTTTTTTTTTCTTTTTTTGGAAAACCAATCTTAGTAAAGGGAACCAAACGTTTTTGATTTTGATTTTTATCCTTAATTATTCGTCTTGCACAAATGTCGGGATTAGCAGCCTAGTGCAGTATGAAGATCGGCGACACGTTGCTGTCTAAAATTTCTAGTGTGATTTTCGACCTTCACAAATACCATTATATGTACTAAGGTCGTCCAGAAGGTAAAGAACCTTTTGGCATAAAAAATTAAAAACAAAAGATGTCAACACAAAATTTTACTTACCAAGTCACAGTACCTTAGACTATTTTTCAATGTAGTTGTCTTGATTGTCAAGGCATTTATTGTATCGTGGACTCAGTTTTTCGCTACCGCAAACTGCCTAAGCCAGGATATCTCTTCATCTTTGAGCTAGCTGTTCGTCGTTTCCAAACTCCTTTTCACCCAGGAATTCCTTCAGTTTAGGGAACAGATGATAATCCGACGGCGTGAGATCTGGGCTGAATGGAGAGTGTTCGCAAATTTCCCATTCTAGACGTTCCTTGCCGAGTTCTTGTCGATACATGGGGATGAGCATTGCTATGAATCAGGAACACCTTCGTCGACAACATACCACCTCGTTTATTCTGTATTACACGTTTTAATCTTTGAAGGGTTTCGCAATAGGCTTCTGAATTTATTGTTTTAGCCCTAGACATAAACTCTACGTGAATTACACCCTTACATTTAAAAACATAATCACACTGCGTGGTTCACATTTGGCGGGATTTTCAAGCGGAGTTGCCATTTCAAAATGTTATAGAACATACGAGAGGTAGTGTTGGGAAATGTAAGAGTACCAAAACATGCTGTCATATCGAAACTGGCTTCACTTTTCAAAGGTTTATTAAATGAACGTTTACCTGTCCCCTCTCTTTCCTTGTCTAAGGCTCACACTTATGCGACAGACAGAGGTAACTCTCGCGCATGAAATCGCGGCGGTGGGGGATCGACGCTGCTCGTGATGCGCAATCGTTCTTTACTTTCTGGATGGCCCACGTATTTCTGACTGTTGGGTCAACATATGAAAGATAATATTTGAAAAATTAACGCTCGGCATTGTGTTCATCACTTCGTATCTTAATCTTCACGATATTATTTATTATTAATGTTATTTATAATAAAATTCGTTTTTACATCTCGAAAGAAGTGGCTCGAAGGCCTTAGCTCGGAGGAGAAAGGTGTATGATGAAGAAAAAACAAGCAATTTACCTAAAACTAAAAAGGACGGCAGTTCATTTTTTGTCCGTCTAGTTGTAGGTCATTTTCCTTTATTTTCGGTTTAATGTTTTTCGAATAATAATAATCTTGTATATGTAATAAAATGCAACTTTCTGTCGTTCACTGATATAAGCAGATGCATAGCATCTGCTTATGACATTTGTGTGCTTTCCGGGATCTATCAATTGGTCCGAATCGTTATTGGAATTTTCAGTGCCAGTTTATGCCTTAAGATATTTTACTTAATTGGGATTAAATCCTCTTAAAATGATCAGGTGTTTTTGGATGTCGATAGTCTTCGAAGACTTGTTTTTCCTCGAATAAACCAGCTGATTTGTCGTTCCAATATAGACTTTCCACTATTACAGTGAATTAAAATCTTAGAGTGTGCAATGGTCCACTTGGATCTTTATTTCATCATTGATTGGTGTGAAGATGGACTTTTTCATGTCATGTTCTCTCAAGATTTTGCCAATTCATTCGTGGTTGTTGTGTTGAGCCACGTACGTACATTTTTCATCCAGGAAGTCCTTTCGTTGTAGAATTAATTGCAGCAACCCATATCTTTCACTGCTCCTCATTATGTGACCGAGGTATTCGATTTTAGCTATTTTTATTATGGTTAACAACTATTATCCTTTAATACAGTAGGAAAACTCTTTTTCTACAAGTGTCAATTCTTCCACCAAATATTCAGATTTACATACTCAGATAGCACGATCCCTTGACATTTTATGACTAGTATCTTTTGGTGGTGATGTGAGTATACAAATAATGGTTCATCTACTTTTGTTTTTGATATACTCTTTGCCCAAAATGTCCGTTTAAATGCTTGGTAAGAACAATTAGACACATGGCAACAATGTGGTAAGTTGGATATTCAACACAACGAAAAACAAGTGTCTTTATATAGCACAGATCAGTGCTGTGCACAAATAGATCGTATAAACTTACAAGAGAGACGAAAAACACTAGTTTCCGGTATGAGAATTAAAAAAACACTTAAGTTACTAAAGTAGTTAGGGGAGGCATATACTCAACTTTCAGAAGGTTGGATGATGTAGCATAGTAGAATCTTACAAATGTTATGACATCTCTCGACAACTTTAATAAGTCGCATTATTTGCTACTTTGAATCTCGTAAATATATATGGAGTTTTCCACACTGAGATCTATTATGATCTTTTATTGTGTGCATTCAAAAATCCAACGAATTCGGTAACAACATTTTCACAATGTATAATTCACCAATAAAATGACTCTTAATAACGATAAGATGACAGTCAGGAGTTGGTGAAGTAGACGATAGAATGATGCAAAAATCTACATCGAAATCTAATCTGGGAGAGCATTGTGAAAGTTATGTATATATATATATATATATATATATATATATATATATATATATATATATATATATATATATATATATATATATTCTTCTTTGGAATGACAGAATTACTATATATAAATACATGATCCGCGAATAAGAAAATTTATAGTTCCTAGACGTGACAGTCAACACACCAGTTCTCTCTTATCGTTTGGGAATCTGTATACTGTAATAACTAGTATCATACTGCTTTTTTTCCAAAATACAGATAAACATTAACGAATCAAAGATGTTTGGTGCCCGTTTTTTAATTAATTTTAATGCACGTTTGTAAAACGTGCATTATTTGAAAAATCTGTGAAATAGTTATATTTAGGTATGATGTATTTATATGACAAGTAGAATTTTATTAAATACTTTTTTGTATACATTTTTGTTAGTTATTTCGAGAGGAAAGACTTTGTCTTTTTTAAAGGATTTATTTAAAAACGTGTATAATATTGTGTTCACAGTAAAAAATTCATCTGATTTGTTTTATTTTTTCTCCTACAAGCCTATAAATGTAGTCTTGTTATGCTACGCCCAAACACCACACCCAGCTTAAACCGCAAACAACCGCTGATGATTTACATAAAATGTTAGCTGTTTCCTGAAGTCCAATGTATGGTACACTAATCAAAAATGCCTGAAGTTCCATGAAGGTCACCATTAATCAAGAAACCCTAAAGAGAGCTTGGAACAAAGATGTTTGGCGAAAGGGTGCAGTGGTATCGTAAGTTTTTTGTGAAGAGGAGAATGCCAATGTTGTAACGAAGATATTTTTGCCTACCACATGAGTATTAATACAAGGGATAGAAAATTGGGGACTGAAACTAAGGGGGTGGAGATAGGGCAAACAAAATAATCGCTACTTGTGCGAACGGCACTCAGGGTTTGTTAGGAGAGCTGGGGTCGTGGATAAGTAAAAGATAAGGGGGGTGAAATGGGGCAACTACAAAACTATGAAACAAAAGGTCATGAATCTCTTGGAACAAACAAAGCAAAAAGAAACAGGAAACACCTGGTAATTTAGTCATTTAATATAGGGCGCCACTTGAGGTGTCTAATTATACCTATTACGACTAGTTGTAACTAGGGAAATAATTATAAAACATCAAAATCATATCTTTTTCAAATAAAACTAAAAAGGAGTTGGTTAAAGAAATTAACAAAATGTTAAGAAAACAAAATTTAACATTTATTGTGTCTTACCACAAACAGTTACACAAATACAGATGACACAAAAAATAAACTATATAAGTAGTTGTAAAATACACAAATACAAAGAAAAAACTTACATGTGCATCTGTTTACAAAGAAGATTGCTATAAAATCTTTCAAAATGGCATAGAGGTTAACCTTCTTTAAAAATAAAATAAACTAAAATCAAAAAATAATAAAGCGTGCTGTCATAAGTTAACAATAAATTTAAAAAAAACTGAACACACAAATTGACAGCTAAAGTCAAACTCTAAAATTTTATAATTTATTAGTTATTATAAATCCTTTAAAATTTCAATGAAAGCAATTATTGTTATTTAAAATAAAAACTATTTTACTATGAACACATAATGTTACCTTTTAATTCACAAACTTTGAAAAACTTGCTACTATCTCTGGGATTGGAGCTGCAAGGACGAAACTCTCAACTGGAACAAAAGGAAACCATTTCCATACTCAGGAACGAAAATCTGGTACAACAAAACTGGTGGGACATCCTATATACTGCTTTAAAATTCTACCATGTTCTGGTATACTACACAATTTATTTTCCACTGCTACACATTGCCACAAAAAGGGGCCAAAACAGAAAACTACAAATTCGACGGTGAATTTGGATTATTGCTGAGCCTACAGCGACCCAAGTAAGAATTTAGATCGATACCTGAGAATACGACGACCTAAGTAAGAATTAGATCCATACCTGAGACTACGACGACCAAGTAAGAATGACGAAATTCTCTTAAGAATTCGTTCACTTAACTTGAAAATAAACAAACTCTATAACAACAAAACACAACGAAAATTAAAACGTAAAAGATTCCATTTCCACGACGTATAAAAATTATAAGGCGACTTCGAAAAAACATTAAAAGAAAATGCCGAGAAAGTACACTACTCTAAAATGGTTTTTATTACTTGGCGACGCTGAAAAGAACGAAATATTTGGGTTTCAAATTGAACAATACGAACGAAAGATACATTAAAAGATTTTTCAAACATTTATGAGGGGATTTCAATATACACCAAAAAAATCAATAAATTGCAAATGCTACAATGTAACTGGATCCTCTTTAAAAAGTATTGTTAAATTTAAAAATTATTTAAATGTCATTCACTATAATGCTCAATCGTTACGTAACTCTTTTCTAGATTTTGAAGTTCTGCTTAATGATATTTGAGCTGATTGTTTGTGTCTTAATGAGTACTGGCTTTTACCTGATTTACTGTCAATATTAATGGCTATCGTATAGTTTCTGGATTTTGCAGGACGGTCAAGTCTCATGAAGGTGTAGGTATATATACTAGGAATAACGTAAGTTTTAATCATTTGAATCTTGAAAATCTCTCTTCTGAACAGCAATGTGAGATTACAGGCATTTTAGTAAATAAATCTAATGTGCAGCTTATTACTGTCTACCGTGCTCCAGATGGCGATTTAGACAAATTCTTTACCATTATGGCTAAAGCTCTTGAAAAATTAATGTTCATAAACCTGTTATAATTAGGGGTGACTTTAATGTCCATTTTAATGAAACAGATATCAGAGCTTTAATACTCTCCAATTTTTTTAGATCTTACAATATTACAAAAAAAGTTAAATCTAATACTCGATTTAATACTCATCCACAAACTATGCAACCAGAGTTTGTTATAGACATATCACAGATGAACGAATCTTTAATCTGAACCAGACTTTGATAAATTGTAACTTTAATTTTGTATATAATGATAATTTGGATATTAATTTAAAATGCTAATTGATTTGTTATTAAATTCCATAAATATATCTTTTCCAGAAAAATCTAAATTGCTGAATAAAAATAATCCAGGTAAAAAAGTAAACTGGTTCAATGACACTTTGAGAAAAATGCGTGAGAGACTTCAATTTATTATAGCAATAAATAGAAACGATTCCATTGCTGCACCTAGAAGTACCATTATCAAACTTAGAAAAGAGTACAGTGAAGCCATCAAGCTTGCAAAAATTAATGCAAATAATAGGTTTATAAAAAATTCAGACAACTCTCAACAAGCTATGTGGAAACTTATTAATGGTAACAAACATAAAAATGTTTTCACTGATAATTCTAAACTCAGTGCAGATAGTTTTAATAGCCACTTCTGCTCAACTGCTGATAGAGTAATAAATGACCTTGAGGTTCCTCAGCTAACTCTTGATGACTATTTAAAGTGTATACAACAGGAAAATATCCCGTGTTTTAGTTTTCAGCCAGTGAACTTTAGTGAAGTTGACTTAGCTATTACAGAAATAAAAAATACTAACATCAAAGATCCTGAAGGGTACAAAAATTATTAAAACAATTAAAAATATAATTGTTCAACCTCTAACAACTTTAATAAATCAATCAATATCTTGTAATACTTATCCTCAAGTTTTCAAAACTGCAAAGGTAGTACCTCTGTTTCAGAATATCTCTATTGATGATTATAACAATTTCCTTTAAGTATATAACAATAACCCATTTCTTTGTTGCCCATCGTATCAAAAGTTTATGAACGAATTTTAAAAAATCAAATTAATCTACATTTTGGTCATTTCACTAGCAATATTTTGGGTTTGAAAAATATCTTGATACTCTTGCATCGTTTTTAGATTTTACTAAGGCTTTCGATTGTGTCACACATAGTATTCTGCTTAGAAAACTTCCTTATTATACTTTTCATAGTGATGCTATTCAACTAACTGATTCATTTCTATCAAATCGTGATCAATATGTTCACTTCAACCAGTATGATTCTCAAACACACAATCTCTGTTGTTTGGTGTCCCTCAAGGCTCGGTTTTGGATCCAGTATTATTTCTTATCTATATTAATGATCTAGTGCAGGTGTCATCAAATGGCGGACCGTGAGCTTGGTTTTTACGGACCGCCGTTAAATTCAAAATATAATAATAAAATTATAGTGTAAAATTATAATCAAATTTCTAAATATATAAATATCTTTACATTTTTAAAATGCACTATATATAATGTACTAATAATATATATATATATATATATATATATATATATATATATATATATATATATATATATATATATATAACGTTAAAACAAATCTTGGCTGTCACTAAATATTTTGCTTTGGCATTGGATGAGTCATGTCACATAACAGAAACAGCACAGCTTGTCATTTTCGTGTGCTAATGGGACAAAACCAGTGAAGAGTTTGTTGAAGAACTTTTGACCATTTTGCCAATGTCAGGAGCTACTACAGGAGAGGATTTAAACAAGACTGTGGTGGACTATTTTGGCAACTATAGTTTGGACTTAAAAAAAGTTATTTCGATCACTAAGGACGGCATTGCATCTATGGTTGGGTGTAGAAAAGGTTTGGTTCAGCGACTTAATAGCGATCCTATGTGCAATGGAAATCTAATATTGTATCATTGTATTATTCACCGAAGTATGTTATGTTGAAGTTTAAATCCAAATCTTCGCAGTAAAGAAAGTTGCAGAACCAACATAATAGCTTTATAATTATCTTTTGCCTTTGGTTTATTTCATACCCCTCCCTAAACGAGGTGGTCTAGTTCCCTGGCTTCAACTACGTAAAAGATCTCCTGAGGGGGAGTTACAACTACTGGAGGGTTTCTAGTTAACCACCCCTGGTTACTCCACCCCCTGGTTTAGTGCTGAGTGTCCGGACTGCGGAAGTGTTCTAGGTTTTCGAAACAGACCCTCAGGGAGTATAATTGGTGACCCCTGATCTAGTGTACTCCCAAAATGAAACAGTTAACACTGTTTTATTTGCTGATGATACTACTTTCTATGCAAGCTATCACACCTCTGAAAACGTTGCTCTACCACAATGTGTAACTGAAGCGAAGTTTCTGGGGATATATTTGGATGCAGGATTAACCTGGGAATATAGTTAATCTATTGAAAAAGCTTTCCCGACCACTTTTCCTCTTCAGGAACCTTGTACAAGTGACTTTCAGGGAAACTATTTTAACAGCTTATCATAGTAATTTTCATTCTCATCTGACCTATGCTATTCTCTTCTGGGGTCACTCTTGTCATATTAATAAAGTGTTTGCACAACAAAGAAAGTGTGTTCATATTATCTCTGGGCTCTGTTATAGAGCAGACTGTAGAAACTCCTTTAGAGCTTTAAAAATTTTAACTTTACCTTGTGTATACATTATGCAGTGTCTGGTGCACATTAAACAAAATCTTAGCCAATACAATGCGCATATAGATTTTCACAATTATCCCACCAGATTTAACAATAATCTTATACCAGAATTTAGCCGCCTTGAGAGATCCAGAAATAGTTCAAGGTATTTAGCCATAAAATTCTACAACTTAGTGCCAGCTAGGATAAAAGCTCTTTATTTTCATCAGTTTTAGGCAAAATTAAGAGTTACCTTGTAATCTGGGAAACCTTTTTTGGATGGTGCTTGAAAGGTCACCAATGGAGACACTGCAGACAGCATCCAGATTATTGGTAGAGATTCAGTAAACTATTTATTAAAAATATCTTTAATCATTGTGTAAAAAATTATATAAACATAATACATAATATAATGGCTCATGTGTTTTGTGATTTTTTCATTTCTGCCTCTTGTGCTCTTTTAATCTGCATCATTCTTTGCTGATTCAATACCTTTTGGAATGTTTCAGCCTCTTCTTCATTGTTTACAGCTAAAAATAAAGAATGGTTTTATATTAAAATTCTATTTAACTGCCTTTAAATTAGGTTATTAAACATACCATTAAAAGGTTCTTCTTCACCTTCCGAGTCAGTACTACTTTCATTTGTAGGATGCCTTAAATATATATCTGACAGTTCTCTCCCACTAGGAACCTCTGTTATTAAAGACCCAGATGATGTATCTACATTAGACTTCTCTTTATCTTCTTTATTTTGTTTTGCCTTTTTGGCATCAGATTCTGCTTTGATTTTTTCCCACTCTACTCGATATTCACTACAAAATAAAAATTTAGTAGAAAATAGAAATTTATAAAATATTTTTAAACTAGCACAAAGTTGATGTTAGTCTTTTTGTTTTTTATATCTCTTTCATAGAAATTATTCCAAAGTCTATCAATTTATATTCAGTTTTATTCATTATAGTATTATTATTATTTTTTTTTTTAATAACATTAGATTCACTTAAATTGAATGTCCTGGCTGTGAAGAATAATGAATTTTCTAATATACTACTTAGTATATTAGATCTTTGAATAGATATATACTACCTTTGAAACAATATATCATCAAATGATAAAAGAATAGATTTACATACTTTTCATATTCATCAGCAGCTTTATCAACAAGTTTAAACAGATCGTCAATTCCTTGTCCTGTGGCTGCACTGACACCACAAACTTTCAAATTTTGGTAGAACTCATCCAAGGCTAAAGCCATAGACCTTGTCAAATTGCTGATATAACTTTCATCTGATTCTAAAGCTTCTTGAAATACTTCAAAATTCGTCATCCAGTCTTTGGCATATGAGTGATCTACTATATCTATTTTATTCATAACAATAATGAAGGGTAATCTGGTTTTGTATAAGATGGAGCAAGCATAGAGCATATTAGACATAAATGTTACGGGAGAAGTACTTCTTACACAGTCCACAACATACAATATAACTGTAGGAAACGAAGAGGCTAATGTATCTGTTATTATTGAGCCTGATACAGACCATGTGAAAACTTCTATTTGTCCTGGTGTATCTAATATACACAATTCATTCTGCGATTTTTTAATAAAATCAATTACTTCGGGAATCTTCGTTGAAAACAAATTTAATGATGTAACTATTGCTCCATTTGGTCCTAAGTTGTATTGTTTCATTACTTCTTTATAATTCACAGTGTCTCGAATATCTAAAAAAATATATGTAAAAAAAGGTTTGATTTATTCTTACATAAGCTTACCTATATTTGCAAAATAATTTAAATTACTACAGGCTGGATCTAAGTTTACTGCATAGGGCTTTTTTTCAGAGCTGGTTAATCTTGTAACTAACGATGATTTTCCACTACCAGCCATTCCCAGAACTATTAGACATACAGGCTTATTACTATTGTCTGCATTTACTTCTGAAGTGGATGTCGAAGCCATTTTATTTATATTTATAAACTAATCCTGAACTCAAATAAAAAGTTTATTTTCTTTTAAAAACATAACCTAGCCTTCCCACAAGACGTTTGACAGTAGACACAGCACACTCCCATCTAGCAGTGCCAGTCCCGTGTTAAAAAATAAAACAAACATTAGCGCGTCGCCTAGCGACAGGGTGCGTAACTATATATATACATGGCGGTAAATTCGAAAAGCACGTAAAATTACCTAGGATTGTAAACTCATTTTAAAGTAAGGAAAAATCAATGTAATCCTAAATAAAAAAAAAACGCTTGTTCTATACGATAATATGTATAAATTTTTTGTATACTGCTTGGGTTTTCTTGTTATGTTAAGGCAATATTTATTTACCATAACTTTAGGTTAGGTTGTTAAAATAAATGCCAGTTGTTAAAAAAAATTAAAGATAAAATATAAAATAAAATCTTTATTTATAAAAAGTTACAATAAATGTTATATGTGTTACAAGAAATATTAATAATATAAGCCAAGTGTGGTATAATATTTAGTGTTCTTGATTTTGTGACAAGAACTTGTCAGTATTTAAAAAAATGTTTTGTTATTATAATGTAAAGTTTTATGCGAACACAAGCTGGTATTGGTATTCTTACCTGGTCGTGGTAAAAACAACCTCGGAACGGCTGTTTCGAGGTTGTTTAAATTAAACTTAATTAACTTCACTAAACTGTCCATGACTTCTTTAAGTCTAGCACTAAGTTTTCCACAAAGAGCTGCCTGGTGTATTATGCACTGTTATTAAATTTGAATGTTTATCCCTGATTCTCTTTACTACACCTTTTCTTTGGTTATCATTGCTGGGGCCCCATCAGTAGAAAGAGAAATCATTTTATTATAATTGATGTTAGATTTAGAAATTAATTCATCAATAACCTTTTCTCCTCGAGCGTTACCTTTCAGCGGCAATATTGCTAGCAACTCTTCCCTAAAAATCTGACACTCAATATCAAGAAATCTTATAAAACATTTGTTCATCATCAACAATGTCACATGATTCGTCAAGTGCTATGGCGAGCAAGTTAAAAAGAGAGTTTTTAATATTAGCAGCTAAAATTTCCGTTTTTCGTGTATTACTTCGCGCTGACAATCAGATGCTTTGAATTGGTAAGGCAACATCTTTTTTTTTTCTTAAAAAAGTGAGTTAGCTAACTGTCAGCATACATTCGTTCACTATCTCAGAATCAGAAAATTTGTTTTGGTGTTTATTAAGTATCCAGCACATACGTAACGTTGCTTCTGTGGATTTTTCTTAGTCGCTCATGCAGCGAACTAGTATTTTTATGCTTTTTTCGTAAGAATTAAGATATACTCCAAGTTTTTCTTTACGCGCTTGACTGCCAAGAAGAAAGTTTTTGTGGAACTGCAGCTTCAAATTTCTACTTTTAATTAAGGCGACAGATTTCTTGCATATAAGGCACGCCGGAACCGCTTGCGACCTATCAGGCAGTGTAAAACAATATTGTTCACTCCATTCTGCCAGAAACTTCCTATTTTCATTGTAAACTTTTCTCCTTTTCGGATCCCTATTAACGTAGGTACAAAAAGATGTTTTATAAAACGAACGAAAACGCGAGTAATCACAAAACAAATTAACGGTAGTGCGCTATGTGCATGTCACCGACCAACTAGTGAGCTACTTGGGTCAGTGGGCAGCAGCGTTGTCAGGTCCATAAATTTTATATGACCAAATTGTGCTTTAAAAGTCAGATTTCAGCCAGATTTTGAACAGAATTCCCCAGATTTATATATTTCAGTTATTGTAAACATACAATATTATTATAAAACAATATTTTATCACTTATACATAATTGTTATTATGTTTATTTATCATTTCACTTCCTATTTGAAAATTAACAGCAGTTTTATTTTGAACTTTATTGAATCAACAATCGATATTTCGCAGTTCAACCTTTCGCGGTCCGGATTCGGACCGCGGTCCGGATTCGGACCGCGGTCCGGCTGTTGCCTTATAAAGACGTTCGAGTGTAGCAATTCATTGGAGCGAAATGTATTAACTCGTGTAAGAAAGGAGTCACTCCACCACCCTTCAATACTCCAGATCATGCCTTTCCCCCTATACTACTCTGATGTGCCATAGGGGCACAATTATCAGTCAAATGCTCTACATGTGGGAGTCATGGGTAATTTCAACATGGTTCCCTAACCGATTTAACGCTTTATTTCTGTTATCCTGGCGCATAACGAATAACAGATAGCGAAGTGTGGTACCGTTATTAGGTTACCATCACAGACGATACAGAGATAAATAGTCTAGTTTTATTATCCCGGTTTATTATAGCGTTCTCCGCCTTCCGGTTCCCAGTTTCCAGCTACGTCGGTCATTCCATTCGCCAGGGTGAAGGTTTCTTTCCGACATTGCCTTCTGAATGCCGCCCAGCCAGGATTGTTTTGGCCTTCCTCTCTTCCTTCTTTCCCTTGGCGTCCATTTTAAAATTTGGTTTAGCAGCCTGTCGTCCATTCTTTTCACATGACCATACCAGATCAGTTGTCTCCTTTGAATTTCGTCAATAATGGTTGACTTGACTCCCATTATATTTCTGATATGGTCATTTTGTATTCTATTAAGCCTTGATTTTCTAGCTGATCTTCTCCAGAAGTCCATTTCCAATGCAAGTAGGCGTCGCTCAAGGGATTTAGTAAGTTGCCATGTTTCGCATCCATAGAGCACTATACTTTTAAAGTTGGAGTTAAAGAGGAGATGCTTTCTTTGATTTGATAGTTCTTTTGACCATAGCATCGGGTTTAGGCATCCTATCACCCTTTTTCCTTTCACGATTCTTTGCTCTATCTCTTTCTCGGTGCGCCCACTCTTATTGATTGTTGTTCCCAAATATATATATTCCTCACAGTTCTTGATTGTTTCATGTTCGTTGACCATTAGATCTTCCACTTCATTCCCGATGCATAATTATTGCGTTTTGTTTCTATTTACAGAGAGGCCCCATTCTTCATATGTTTTAAACAACCGTCTCGTCATGATTTCTAAATCTTCCTTGTCTGCTGCCACTACTACTTGGTCGTCCGCAAAATGTAGAGTGTATAATGTTGTATCGTCGTCAAGTTGGATTCCCATTCCTGAACAGGATCTTCTCCAGTGTCTTAGTGCTTCATTTAAATAGATCTTAAATAGCATTGGAGAGAGGCAGCATCCTTGTCGTAAGCTTTCTCAATCATGTTTTTTAAGATTTAACCAAACAGACTGCTAAAGGTACTGGTGACAGAGATACATCTGTAGTTTCCGCAAATATCTTTTGGACCTTTTTTGTGAATTGGAGTAATCCATGCTTCTTTCCAACTATTCGGGATTTCTTCCAGATTTAAGTATCTTCTGAATAGCACTTTAAGATAGCTTATTAGTTTTGGTGTTCCGTTTTTTAGAAGTTCTGCTGGTATGTTCTCCGGCCCGGATGCTTTGTTATTCTTCATCGATTTAAGCGCTTGTTGTATTTGTTCTTCTTCCATGTTTACATATTCACCTTGTACTCGTATTCGTTGAGGTGAGTCAGTATTATAAATATCTCTGTCTTCATTCAGTTCCCTTGCCTAATGCTTTCCATGTATCTATCTGGATGGGCGGTATTCGACTTTTATTTGATGTGTCGGTTGTCAGGGTTTTTATCAATTTCCATGCCGCTGATGATCGCGCTCCTCCGATGTAACAGTCAACTTCTTTACATTTTGCATCCCATGTTTCATTTTTATTGTTCCTTGTCATATCTTTAAAAAATATTCTTTGCTGTTCTTTGTTTATTTCTTTATCTTCAAGATTCTTAGTGTTCAGCCATCTTTTGTATGCTTCCTGTTTCTTATTTCTTTGCTGTTCAAGCTGTGTATTCCAAGTGAATTTTCCCGCTGATCTGTGGACTGTTCTGGTTTCTTCGCCTAGAGCTTCTTGGTCTGCGTGGTGAATACAGTCCTGATAAATAGTTACAAAACAAAATAATAATATCCTTACAAAATGGAAGAATAATTAAAACGAACGTTTTTTTACAAAATACTTTATTACTGTCAGTTTATATACAGTTATGTAGTAACCACAGTGAGTATGAGAAAGGAATGTTCAAGTTAAATAGATTATACTTAGCACTAAAATTTCAAGTAATAAAAATAAATACAAAAATAGGGACTGACATTATTTGCTTAAAATCCGATCATAGTGAAGAAAACAGTCTTAAAGAAATGTTACATTACAAAAATATATAAATATAAAATGGTATATGTGCATTCGAGTAGTCAACTTAGCTGCGTAGGTACTTGAGCACAAACAAGATCGAGGCAACATGGGGACGTACCTGGCGTGAGACTTTACGTCGGCTAAGTCTGGTCGTTTTGTGATAAACTACAATTAAATATTCTGAAGCACTTCACTTTTAATATGTAATCAGTGCTTGGATACACAAAAGAAAGCAAAATAGCTGTAAAATTATATTAAGTACCTTCTCGAAACGAAAAAAAAGGATTAAATTAATCACAGATACTGTTCTCTGAGGCGTTACCTCAATAATATGAGCAAATCAGAAAGTCTTTTGAACTTTCATCTTTCATTGTATATGTAGTCTATTTTACAGTAGGTACATAATAGTCAATTGGATTTTTTTTCTCTATAGGGAGATGCCGTCAAAGGAATAACCGTTTACTCCATTTACTGTTTAAATTGAAATTAAACAAGCTTCATAGCTCTCATTATTTGTTTGTTCACAAAACTTCAACTTCAGGACATCAAGACTTTGGCTATCTATTTTCAGACTATTATTGAGTTAATTATCCTCACGTTGCCACGTTTGTGTCAGTTATGCATCATTAGGAATAAGATTGCGCTAAAATGCACATTTACCCTATAATACAGTTCCAGGTGTACCATTTTACATTGTTTTCTAAGAGAAAAATGTGCCTTCGTAATGATAAAAACCCCATTTACAATACTTTGAAAATAATAGACTAGATAATACTTTTTGTAGAAGTTGTGCGAGGGTTTAATAAAGTAAATATTTCGTTTGAAAACAAGTAACGTACCATAGAGTACACACTGGAATAAAATTAACCTAATTGCTGCATTTAATAAAGTTAGATCGTATCTCCATCTTTGTTCTCGTGTCTTTCATGGATAATTGGTAATAGAAAGCACGAATAACAATAATACTGTTCAATATATGCATAACAGTGGAAGAAAGGGGTTTCTGTCAATAGAATCACCGTTAGCATTTGCCCTATTACTGTGACCAAATTTTCTATCCAATTCTCATAACAGTTGATTCAAAATTATTCAGGTTAGTTAATAAATATAATACGAGACTTTCTGTGAGATTTTGGATAGAATAACAGTATGGAAAAACGTTGTAATTGTATCCCTGTGAAACCAGAGTAGAATTCTCGGAATATACTTGCTGTCTGTTATAAAAGACGACTAAAAGATAATTGTAATGCACATTACTTTTCCACATTATTATCGAGCGTGATTAATTGTCGAATTATTTCTTGCTGACGTTTCTAAAGGCGAAGCACTTATTGGGGGCGCTGCTCAAATTGATGCGCTATTTATAACCTCCGTATGACACTGGGGGCTTTAGGGAGATACCTTTCGCCTTTGACAATTCAGCGTAGTTGCAACCGAAGCGTGCTAGGAAGAAATAATTCCAATTCAGGTTCTAAAACCCGTTTTAGGAAATGGCGGAGGAAGTGAAGAAAATTTCTCTGATAATACATGCGTGTCGAGAGCAGTGGCAAAAGGAGGCATCGTGAAGAGAGGAATCTTGGTACAGAAAATCCCACCCAATACAACGAAGGAAGAGATCCAAAAGGCCACCGAGCAAGCAGCTGGCAAAGAGCGGGTCTGTGACATCATAAAAATTTGGATTGGGACACGAGGCGCAGGAAGAGGGATGATGAGTGCCGTGATCGATGTAGATGAAGACGCTGCCGAAAAGATCTTGAAAATGAAAAGAATAAAAGTAAAATACCGAGACGCCTGAGATGTCTTGCCTTTGGGCACAAACAATGGCACTGCAAGGGGCAGAACAGAAGAGGATGTTGCTTCCGATGTGACAAAGAGGGTCACATAGCGCTGGAATGCAAGGAAGAAACAACCAGATGCCTCAATTGCGACGTGAATGGGCATGTGGCGAATTCAAGAATATGCCCAAAGTTCAACAGACTGGTTGAAAATAGGAATCACTGAAGACTAGTCCCAAGAAGAGTACGAGAGTGTAAAAGAGAGCGCGAAAAAAGTCCAAAGTTTAGAAATGGCAAAGAAAACAGGACTCGAAAGCTGAGAGCGTTCCAAACTAATGTGGGAACAGCAAGATTAGTACATGATCTTGCTGAGGCTGCCGTAGTAGAAAAGAACATCGATGTGCTGGTGACGGCGGAACCAAATCCAACAGCGGTAAAGAGAAGAGGATGGTTTGTAGATACTTCCGGGAGGGCTGATGTACGAATCTAGAATAGGAAGCTGCGAGTGTATGAAATTAAGCCGAAAGAAGGATATGTGATTATTCGGATGGAAGGGGTGCGGCTGGTCTGCTGTTATATTTCTACAAACGTGACGGTGGCCCAGTACGAGATAAAGATAGACGAGATTATGGAGGAAGCGGGAAACACAGGAAGAGAATACGTAGTGCTGGGAGATTTTAAGGCAAAAGCGGCGGAGTGGGGATCTTCCATCACCGATACTCGCAGCAGAATACTAATTGATTAAGGGTGGGTACTCTAGAGGTCTAGAACCTACGTTTGTTAGAAGAGGTAAAGGTTACGTACATCGACGTGACCATGGCGACACAAGGAATAGCGGCGAAAGCAAGAGGCTGGAAGGTTTTGCCAGACTACACCGGAACTGAACATCAGTACATCGAATTTCCACCGACGGTGGAAAGCCTGGAGAGACTAAAACCCGGAAACAATCAAGCATTAAAAACAGCGGCCGTGAAAGCCTGCACTTTTAAAATACGTTTATAAACAAAAGGAATAGTATAAACATGTTGAAATGTACCGGAGATACAAAATTTATGTCATATTATGTATTTCCATCAGAATAGGTAAACAAATATTAAGTAAATACTATGATTTTTCAAGGCTCACTAGTTTAAAAAAACAAATTGGTAACAGCAGATTCTTTCAGGGATTCAGCGAACTTAGCAGTACCTATTAACCTACGATATCAGGCGTTTATTATGTCACAAATTATATATCCATTAAAATAACACATATTTGAACAGTGTTGTCGTTTTCTTGCATGTACATTTTATCAAAAATCCCTAAGACATTCGGTAGTATGAAGTAGGTGCCTTATGACTAGTATAATATTTCAATACCGAATCGAAACAAATTCTGGAGATATAGATCTACAAGACACGTTTATAAAGAAATCTCATCAAAAAGAATATGGCATCACATCACAAATATACATATAAATTAATAAAATTAATAACCACATACATATCTAAGCAGTAGACAAAATCCGAGCAAAAAATTCATTTGAAACTTTTAATTTCTACAATAAAACAACAATAGTCAATATCTGAGCAAAAAGGGTACAGAAATTATCTAATATTAAAAAAAGGAACCAACAATGTAAGTACTAAGCCATTTAATGATTTAAATTTTTATTTATCCAAACGATGAACCATTTGCGCGTATGAGAGCATTTTAAAAAACTCTATATAAAAAAAACTGAACTTATTAAACAAATTGTAAGTAAAAACCTTTACCCTAGTGTTTAATTTATCCATCCATTGATTAAAGGTTGACAATATTGTTGAGGCTAACTAGCAACTATACCTGTATATATAATTCGATGATAAAATTAGCAAAGAGAAAATTTTGCATTTATTCTAGATTGATCACCACGTTTTCTCGACAAATGGATTAAGTTTATAAACAAAAAAACCGATAGCACACACACTTTTTTCTCTGTTTAGAGCTTCAGATGGACAACATTATGTTTAGTACCTATTACTTCGAGGTTTGGATAATTTCTCAGTAGTAAAATTAGGAAAATGTTCATGTTCATGTTAGCGTGAAGTTAGTTGGAATCATTTATGGTAAGAACTAAGGCGGTATATGATCGCCTTCGAACGTCAAACCTTCGTTGAGTAAAATATTAAGTAATGAGAGGGTTTTTAATAAATATTGTCGCTTCTGTTTGTCTTGAGACAATGTGTAACGTTGCAAATAGGAATGTCTACAGTCGTTCCTACTATTCATTAGTTAAAGTTGCGAAAATAATTAGAGCTAATGACCATAGATCAAAAAGCTTTACAATAAGACTGGAGAGGATGTAAACTTATAAAAGACAAAACCATAAACACAGCATGATACATCTTCACTCATATTTTTACTTTTTCAGGTGGCATTTGATAAATATGAGTATCATTGGGAACAGACATTTGAGCCCTGGACCTGAGAAGTACAGTAAAACAACCATCATGATGAGGTTGCAGCTGGTTGCTCGAAATTACATATTTTTGCATAGAGTTACTAGACTTCTCCGACCGAATAAACGATTATAAGCTAGACATACATTCTGTGATGTCTCTGCGAAGTTTTACTGAGAAATTTTAATTAGTGTTAACAGCTATTCAGACAGATTTAGCTAGTGTTTCATTGCTATAATACCAATGCCCTTAAAAGAGGTTGTTTGAACTTCTCCATAATTGGCATTTGCTGTATGTGTTAGGTGGTTGGTTTGGCTTTAAAGTGATAAGTGCCACCCAACATTTATAGAACTTTAATTTTACTGACCAGAGTAAAAATAAAATGACGATAATTCTTTAGTTTTATACATTTATGTCACGATTATGCCAGTATGAAAAGATACAATTTTGATTTGTGTTACATCAATATTTGGTTCAAATCGAAAACCGTAAAAAAGTTGTCTCAAATTCGTAATTCAACCTATGAATTATATTTTTTTAAACAATCAGCCGATTCAAATATCAACATATCAAAACTTGTTGGGTTACATTCAAAATGGTTGCATTCGAAGTTGTAAGATAAGGGCAGTGTTTAACAAACTAGAAGTACCTTCGACGTTCTACAAGAAGGAGAACTTGAAAAAATATAAAAGATTCTGCATAAAAGAACGATGGGCAGTACATGAAGAAAAACAGACCGACAGTGATTTAAAGAATTAATCAATTACCAACATGAATTGCTACTTCTTTCATTGTACGTTTGATCTAGATAATAAATTAAAAATTTGGTTTTCAAATAAAACTAAATTTTAAAATAGAACAACAATAGATCACAAAAATGTTTGGCTGGCTACACTATTGGATACAGTAATATGACGGGTAAAGGGAACTGACCACAGAGGTATACTATCACATCTTCAAGTGAACCACTTTTAAATCCAACTTCAACCTATACCATATTATTCCTTCAAGTTCAACAAGAAAGCAAATCATGATTTTATAATATAGGAAACCAAATTTGAACGGTATTTGAACAATTGAAAAATTGACGGTATTTCAGATTTCCAAAATGAATTTTAGTAGTTACGGTGATATGAAAGAAATCGATCATAATTCTCATTTTTGAATGAAATGAGAGACAGAATGTTATATGAAAAATATAAAATATGTTATTATTTTCATCCATTTTTACCAAGTGTATCGTTACAATATTACTATTTCCTGAAAATAGGATTTTGTCTAATGCTTATAAAAATAATTGAGATGTATTGGTAGGTCCACATAGTAAAGCTAACCGTTTAAGAAAAATAACAATCTGTTAACTATATACAGACGTTTAAAGAATACTACCAACTGCAGACTCAATCTCATTCTCGTTGAGACAGTTATTTTGTAATTCGCAATAATCGTCGACAACGTTCAGATCTACCGGTTCCATACACTCGTAACTTATCGACTTGATAGCAGAGTCCAGCTCTTCTGGCTTTCTGTTGAAAATGTTGCTGTCCAGCACCGAATCCGCAGTGTTGGAGTTAGATCTCGGGTTGAATTTGTTATGTGGCGGTAATGATTGAGATCCTTGAGAACAGTCATCATCGGAAGATTCACTTTTGGTTCCTTCGGTGTAACTAGAACTGGAATCTTCGCTGGAAGAGGAATATTCCGGCTGTTGAGCAGGCATGGGTTGCACTGGTTCTGGTGGTTTGTCGTTAATTACTTGACCATGATTAGTATTAGACGACATTATCGAATCCTCGGTATCTTCTTGTACTTCAGAAGAATAATCAGCTTTAATTTGTAACGGTTGGTCGTTGTCAGATTCATCATTGTCCGATTGAGATGAGCATTCGACTTGTTCGATCAAACTCTCATAATTAATATTATCAGTATATTCCTCTCTATCAGTTTCTTCTTTGTCAATTTTAAAGCCATTTGAGGTGGGTTTAGGAACCACTACTTTTTCAGATTTATCACTATCTTCTATAAGCGTCCAATCAAAGTTTTCATGTATTACCATGTGTAACTTTAACTTTGAGCTCGCGTTGTGGTACCTTCCGCATATCCTACAAATAAAGTTTGAACCAAATCCCTGACCATGGAGTAACTTTGGGTGATTGTCTCTTAAATGCTTTTGCAAAGATTTGTAGCTGTCATTTGTTTTTAAGCATATTCCGCATACCGTTGCCGCTACAGTTTTGTGACAGCGAATATAGTGTTGCCAAAGATGCTTCTTTGCAGGCCAGGTTTTATAGCAAATTTCACAGTACGAAGGATCATTGCTATTAACGTAGACTGTGCGTTTCGAGGAGTTTGTTTGGGGATTGTTCATATCTGATTCATCTTCTTTCTTGTTAAACGGTTTTTGTTTAACTTCATTCACAGACAATTTCATTTTCTTATTGCTACTACTTAATGCTGGTTTGGATTTAATACTGCTTTCGTCATCAGTCGACGTTTTACCCAACAGTCGCTTTTCTAATAATGATATTTTAGCATCCTGGGATAAAAATGATTTAGGTTCATCGTAATGTTGCTTGTGGTATTCCCCATCTGATTCGCCTAAAACAATATTAATAATTATTATTAAGAAACATATGATATATACCATTTTTCAAAGTAAAATACTTGCACGTCACGATTTATACAAAGTGACGTCACTTGTATTTAAAATTTCCAGAATATCAACCTTAGAGTTCAAATTTTCCTAACACAGCCAATAATACGAAACCCATACGGAACTACTCGATCTTTCATAGGCGTCAACATGGTGTAATAATCAGAAAAATGTAATCATCATTATATTGGAAATTTTAGAATACTATTGATTAAATAACCAAAAACATTTTAATTAAATATATTAGACAACTGTACGCAACTGATACGGAAATACTTCAAAATTTATTGACAGTTCAGCGTGTGGCCAAAGTGTATAAAGTGTTGCCGGCTTTTTAGAGTAGGAATTTTGTTTATGTTTTGATTTCTTACACAATTTGATCATAATATAATATATATTAATACATTGTATTTATAAATACATATTAAATTTAGATTAATAGCTTTAAAAACTAATTCTTGTTGTGTATTGTGATTGTGATATGCCAAAACAAATAATCTGTAGAAAGCTGATAAGCTTTTATATAAGATAGATTATTTTGAAAAAGAAATAATGGCAGGAGGTTTTTACTATTAAAGCCCTAAAAGAGGTAAGTTTAAATTTAGAATATAGAATTTTGTATTAAAATGTTTTCTTATGTATTTTAATGTGTTGCAGTAGTCTTAAAACTAAGTGTATTTACTGTTAATATAATCGTTTGACAAATAGTTGACATTTTAAAAATTCCTCACTTACTAACTATTCTGATGTTTTGGCAACGCTGTGGGGTTCTGAAGACGTAAATCGTGAATGACGTGCAAGCTTTTTTATATGAAAAATGCTATAGTAGGGATATTTTAATAGTTCATGAACATATGCCGGAAAAAAAATCCTAAAAACATTATCTATTTTAATTTCATACTTAATTCAACATAAAGTGTTAAAAATGACTGTTATATAAAAAAACAATAACTAATCCAATCGTTTTACTAATGCGAAAACTAATTTGACTATGTCCTGCTATGAAAACGCACTACAGACAATTAAATGTTGTCAGTAATGTCGGATTTCATAGTTTCATTCGTAGATTGACGTCACCAAACGAGTGAATCAGGTTCATGAGATTTTGTAAGACCAATGCAAAGGCTGTTATGATAGTTTTAAGACAGACAAGCAGTCCATATAAATTTTTTAGAGAAAATTATTCAAAAGACATGCAATATGAAAGAAGTTGTAATGCGCAATATATAACGCGGTATCCAGCTAGAGACAGATATCCTCTCCTACTCTATTTTTTGATCAAAAATATTATTGTGCCATAAGCAACAATATGCACTGTCGAAGAAAATTCTCTTTCATATGCGTTATGAACTAGGTATTATTATTTTTTTTTATTTTAGATAATGGACCCAAAAAAGTTTTATGGTGAAACTCTTGTGGTAGTGGACATACCAGATGGTAGTGAAGACGAATGGCTGTTAGATTATGATATTTCCTCTATTATATTAGCCCCATAGTCAAGACTATGAAGATGATATAATAGATAATAATGAATCAGATATTATTATCCCAGAAACATATTTAGAAAGCAGTTCAAATAGCGAAGATGATACTTCTTTTGACGAATTACGACGAAATCTAATAAAGAATAGAAATAAAAATCATCCAACTTGGAAAGAAGGAAATTTGGTAACATCAGATGATGATAATAAGATTTCTCGATTCTACGGACCTGTTACCTGAGTTACAACAAGCGGATTCCCCTTACGCATTTTAATTTTTTTTTTAACAAATGAGATGATCAAAGATATAGTTTATCAAACTATATTATGTTCTGGAAAAAAGACCTCAAAAACCTTTGAAACGTTTTAAAATTAAGCTAGAACAGTTCTTACGAACCTGTATTTATATGTCAATAGTGCAATTGCCAAACGATAGAAATTATTGGAATTCCAGCGTGAATCATCGATTGATCTCAGATGTTGTCATGCAATAAATGGGAAGAAATAAAACGTTTTTTACATTTTGCAAACAATAACGATGCTATTCCTGCCGGTAATCCTGGTCATGATAAACTTTTTAAAATCCGACCGCTACTAAATAAACTAAGGAATCAGTTACTCCGAAGTTCCGAAAGAGGAATTTTTAGCCATAGATGAATGAGCAGATAATTCCAACAAAGGCGCGTTCATCTATAAAACAATATAATCCGCAAAAACCCCACAAATGGGGATATAAGGCATTTGTTATTAGTGGTGTCAGCGGATTTTAATACGATTAAGAAATTTTTGTAGGAAGCCAAACCAATGTTGTACCCGATGATTTTCCTGATTTTGGGGTAAGTTCAAATGTGGTTCTTCGGCTAATACAAATAGTACCAAGACTTATAAATCACAAAATACTCTTTGATAATCACAAAATGCTCAACAGCGTCCCATTGCAAATTTATCTAGCGAAACAGGGTATGTTACCACTAGGAATAGTTAGAATAAACAGAGTGCCAAATATGCCAAAAGAAGCTGAATTAAAAAAGAACAGCCCAGGAGCTATGGTACAGAAAGTAGCCACAATTGATGGTACAAAAATATCTGTTGTTACATGGTATGACAACAAATTAGTAAATATTTTATCAGCATATGCTGGGAGTATGTCAACAGTTGAAGTTAAATGGTTTTCGAAAAAGGATGACACATATAATGGTTTCATATCCAAAAGCTGTAACGATCTCCAAGTATATGGGGAGTAGATCTCCTGGATTCAATGTTGGAGAAGAAGTGACAATGAGCATAATAATTTTGCTCTGACAGATTTCAAAATCTCAGTAGCAGAGTGTTTATGCAAAATTAATAAAGCTGGTCTTAGTACAAAAAGGGGTCGTCGTGTGGAGCTATGGAAAATTTACAAGACAAGAAAAGAAGGGGTCCAGAAACCGATATTCTAATGCAAGATGTACGAACAGATGGATATGGTCATTGGTCATCTTCCATTATGGTGTAGTGAAAGGCAAAGATGCAAATATCCCTGTGGTTCAAAAAGCTTCATAAAATGCGAGAAGTGTAATGTTTTTCTTTGCTAAACAAAGATAGAAATTGTTTTTACAACTTTCACATTGACTTGCAGACCTTGTTTAAAAACGAAAACTACTGATTTACCTGAGGGCAATAAAATAACAATTCGAAATACAATATATAATATGTACCCGGATAGTAAATTAAACAACTTTCTGTTGAGAATTACGAGTAAGACTTAAAATGTTATAGTAATCACAATGAGCGTATTTCTTACGTAAATACATCGAAAACAGAAATAGAATCTACCCACGAAAAGTTGTATTTTTAGACGAAACGTGCAATTTTTTTAGGAGAAATAAAATAATGTCGTGGAAGGATGACAACAGGAGAAGTGTACGAAAACCGGGTTATTATGTTGGAAAAAGATTTATTGTGGTTCATGCTCAGCAAAAGATTTTATTTCAGACGCCACTTTGTTATTTTATTTCAAATCTTTGACTGCATATTATCACGGTGAAATGAATAGTACAATATTTATTAAATAGATAAGCTTTTTTATAAGAAGCACAATTACTTCCTAATTTAGAACACCCATCATTTACTGTCATCATGGACAAAAATGTTGGTTTTTTAATCTCACAAATAATGAATACCTCAGCACAGAGGTTATTGCTTCTATCATACTAACAAACATTGGAACTATGAGCTTATAATACAATTTAATCTAGGCCGTAATTACAACACTAAGGAAGTTCAATTCTAAAATATATTATTCAACAATTGATTAACGGGTTAATTTATTTAATTATTAAAATATTACTCGATATAGTTTTACAATGTCTCAATTATACACGGTGAAACTATAAAAGATTAAGAAGTTAAGAATAATGTGAGATTACAAATTAAGGGAATAATTTGTCATTGAATACCCTACCGTAGTGAAATTATGAATAAACAGCCTTCCGTTAAATGGTAAAAATCAGACATTACAGTTTAATTGAAGAAATACAATGTTAATTTTGATGAATATCAGTTAAAACCAGAATTCAATGGATTCAACTGTATAGAGTAACGAAATAAAATAAAAAAAATCTTTGTTGTATTTTTATAAAAGATGTGGATTAATGTAGTACAACTTACCTTCTTCATCACTATCAGTGTCGTCGTTGTTATCGTGATCGTTCTGTGCCACAGCTTCGTTCATCGCGGACTTAATATGGGCCATAATACTGTTTCTGAGCGCGGCAGCATTGGCGTTGCCCACTTGGCCTCCGTGAGCGGTAACGTCACAATGCGCCTGTAATTGAGCATCATTATCAAACACTTCCAAGCAGGTTTTGCAAGCTCTGAATATTCTACCATGCGATTTGTTTATGTGATCATATGTCTTCCACTTCGATCCGTAATTCTTGCCGCAAATCGGACAGGAAGTTAGAGGTGCCAGCTCGTTTTTGTGTACCAGTTTGACGTGATCTCTCAGAACGTGCTGGTTTTCAAATAACTTCAAACAAATCCCACAGGAAAGACTCAATATCTTTCGATGTAAACTGAGTATGTGCATTTTGAGTTTTATTTTGCTCGGGAGTGAATCACCGCAGAACTGGCAGATGTGGGAATCAAAGTGATTTCTCACATGTTCTTGTAGATCGTTTTTGCTTCTGAGAACATTTGTGCATATTCTACAAAACAAGGGACAGCCGGGATGTCTAAACCTGATATGTGAAACTATTTCGCATTTGCTTTGTACTTTTTCCGTACATATTTCGCAGGTGTACTCAGAATGATAATTGATGAGATGTTTGGCGAGACTCTGACGATCTTTAAAGATTCTGGCACACGATTTACATCTGGTTAGCAAATCTTTTTGCATTCTCGGTCTACAGTTCTTCTTGTGCTTCTTTAACAAAAGTTTTTTATTAAAACCCTTCGAGCATTTTGGACATTTAAAGTCACCTTCGTTTATTGGAGGAGTATAATTGGTTATGATATTAGTGTACATGTCATGGGAAGAATCTATTTCTTTGGGTTCTCTGAGATTTTCATCCTTAACGTCCTCATCATACTCTTCTTTAATGACTAGATCATCCTCTTGTTCTGAGTGATTAGAATTTTCATCTTGATCGCTAGTATACTCCAGTTCCTCTTTGATAAACTTGTCTCTTATAGACAAAAAATCAAAGGAAGAAAATTTAGGTGAATTTTCTTTTTCCACCAGTTCTGCAGAGGAAGACTTTTTCCCGCTTTTGGCTAGATGGATTTTGTTAAAATGCTGGGAAAGATGGTATTTGGAAGCCGAGGTTTTATAACACAGCTGGCAAGTAATGCTTGGATGGCCTTTGTGCAATCTGTTAACGTGTTTCCACAAATGTGAATTTCGACCATAAAACTTATTGCATAGATCACAATGGAAGTTACTGTGCTTATTTCTCCTGTGCGCACTAAATTCCTTATAAGAATAAAATTCATTCACACCACAATCTGCACAACTCAATCCTTTGTATGGTGTGTTACCCATTGCTTCGTTAATATCAATAAAGTCTTCGGGATCGAACATCTTCATCTGTTTTTTACAAGCCTCGATTAAAAAATCGTGCACCAAAACGTGGTTCTCCAGCCACTTGAAGTTATCATCTCCATATTGGCACACCTGGCAGATATATTTGGTAGATGGTAGTTGAGTGTTGGAGCAGCTCTGCAAATGCAGCTTAAGGTTCATGTACGATGAGCACTGATGCAAACATATCCCACAAACGAAACCTGCCATTTGTGCGTGTTTTAGCCTTAAATGCATCATCAGATCTTGTTTACTCGTGAATACATTGGAACAATTTGGACAATACATCGAATGAGGATCCTGTTGAAGGTCGCAGTACTGGTTATTTTCTAAAACAGAACATATTCTTCGTTTCAATACAATAAAAGCTTTGGTAAGTAATGTAGTTATTAGGTACATCTAAATATGTTCCAATCATCTTTTACTATATTACAATTATAGTAAACAACTGGGAAAATAACCTTTGAATTAAAACATATAAACGTAAAAACAAAAAATTTAAAGTGAGTATGTAAATAGATAAAGAAATAGTGATGAAAATTAAATTAAAAGAATGAAGAAATTATATTAAAAGACTTTAAAACACCAGATGCTATTCATGTTTACAATATACCACGATTTTTAGGGATGAAAATAATTAGATTTATCCTAACATACATGCAAAAGTGCACCCAGAAAAAGTTGCGGGATGTTAAAGTTACAAAATAAACCCGAATTTTTTCATATTGCTCCAAAACGGTTTAGAATTTTGTTATGAAAATTTATATGTTAGCATGCCATGACCAATAAAACCAAAGTAGCTATCTCTAAACTTGATGTTTAAAGTGGCTCTGCAAACCTTTTCCCCCCAATTTCTTTATCTGTTAGTATTTGTTTGTAAAATCATTAATTTAGAAGATACAGCTACTTTTTTAAATGGAATATTACATTTTTACATATGGAACAAAAAAATATGAATTTAATTTAAAATAGTCTTCAAAATGCCTCCCTCTTCCTGTATAAACGCTCTATACTTGAGAATCAAATTTGCAGGCAGTAAATTCTCCGAACTGTGAATGCAATAAAGCAACAACATCGTTGCCAGTTTGTAATGAAAGATATTCTAGCAATTTATAATTTAATCATTGACATGCAGCAAAATTATCATATTAATGATCGTTTTGTATTTGTTAAGGTATATAATAAAATGTATTTAGTAATATCAATATTTATGTATATTATATTTATATACAATACTTATATATAGAAAACATCTAAAGTAGAATATAAATGTATATAAATATAATATACAATACTTATATATAGAAAACATCTAAAGTACGACAATATTCTTTGTAAAAGTCATACATGACAACATCGCATTCTAGGACCGGTAGAAAGGAATAGTAGATCAACGTTGTCAAAATATAGAGAGAGATAAATTGCTCATTGACTTGGAGTCTTTACACTAATTATTTTCATATATATGTTCCCCTCTCTGATCATGGAATAATTCGTCTATATATTCTTTCCATCTCAATAATTTTTGTTCCGTCTCCACTAAAATGTTTCCTTGTTTGTCCAATAGTATGCTTGAGGTTTTTTGTTTTGCTACCTTTAACTTGTTTGTTCATTGTTTCAACAATGAACACCCAATATTTAGAAAAATCAAATGTCTGTCGAAATGCATTAGCAGCTCCTAAAATTCGATTTCTTAATTGTTTTGCACTAGTTATTTTCACGGAATAAACATAAACATAATCTTCCATAAATCCGCAAAAAGAAAAATCCATTGGACTAAGATCTGGACCGCGCGATACCCATTCGACTGGTACATCTCCTTCTTATACGATGTGCTGGATATTTTCTAAATAATAATGTCCCAAAACAGCCGTCGTAATTACAATAAAAACCAACTGTAAGTCTTTTTTATTTTCACTTTTTACCCTTTGACAATTGACTCACATTTGCAATTGATTCATCATTAAAATAAAACCATAAAATCAATGCCATTTATGAGCTAGACCGATAACTTGACATCTTGAAATTGCCTACTCTGTGAGCTATCCTCTGGAATATCTCCAATAAATTTCTGGAGCTTTTGTTGTACAAGTAATTAAAAAATGAAACCTCTATTAACACCAATGTATAGTTACAATACGTACCTAGTGAATCAGTCTTTTTGAGATCAGATATTTTTACGAGATTTGGTAACTTCTTTTTGCTCTTCTCTGGAAAAGACTCCCCCGAACCGGAAGACACAACTTCGGACATGTCGATCCCGTGGGACTCAAAAACATGGGCGGCTAGAGCCGATGGTCCAGAAAAGTGAGTATCACACAATAAACAACTTTGCGGTAAAGATGACAGCAGGTTTTCGTTCTACAAAAAGAAAAAATGTTAATAAAAATACGGTTTTCTTTTTTTTCTCTAAATAAAAATAAAGAGGCCACCATATAAGGTTGGTCAGATCTAAAATTGCCGTTTTTTTGTTAAAACATTAATCTGAGTATCTATAAAAGAAATCTATATATCACAAAGGAAAGAAAATAGCGACTTAACCCAAATAAATCAACTATCCACCGACGACTGGATTAATTACACAGGACAACGATGAAAAAACTTTTTACTTAATCTTACTCTTATGTTTTTTAGAGTACTAAACCCAAATATGACACTTATTAAGCTGCGTCACCTACCATTTCTTCCCATTTACACTTAAAATTTGTGATTTTTTAAAGAAGTTAACAGCTTTTATATAGTTCAAATGGAATTGTAAAATAACTTATACTGGATGTAGAAGTGTTGGCAACACTGCTGAAACACATTTACTATCTATTCACAGCTGATGTTTTGTTTACTGTTAACCTAACCTTACTTTCTGGTTTGCAGCATATGTGTTCAGTAAAATGTCTAATTGTGTTATAAGAACCTTCTTGGCAGCTTTTGTTATATTTGTGGTGAGTGTATTAAAAATCATCAAAGAAACATTACAGACTGTGAAAAAGGTTTATTTCTCATATTTTGGAACTAAACTTGGTGATCAGGATAAATATTGGGCCCCGCATAAGGTATGTTATGTTTGTGTTAAAGATTTTAGAAAATGGTCAAAAAAAGGAGAAAAGGCCTTTAAGTTTGTTCCTATGATATAGAAGGAGTGTAGAAACCACACTGATGATTGCTACTTTTGCAGTATTGATATTACTGGCCATAACTCGAAAAAAAGAAAGTAATAAGCTACCCTAACCTAATGTCCACCATCCGTCTAGTAGGACACGATGTAGATTTTCCAGTTCTAGAAGATTATGAAGTGTTCCAATGTACTACAGAAAATATAACTGTATAAACAGATCGAGCTTAACGACTTGGTTGGAGATCTTGGTTTAACAAAAGAAAAAGCTGAATTTTTTGGTTCTAGACTAAAAGAAAAGATTGTTGGCAGTTGGAACCAGAATATAAGTAAAAAGAAGAGAGAGTAGCAGATTTCAACATTTTTTTAACAAGAAGGTGATTTAGTGTACTTCTCAGACATTCCAGGTCTGATGACGAGTTCGGTGAAGAATACAAAAAAGAAAAATGGAGACTTTTTATTGATTCATCCAAAGCTAGTTTAGAAGCTGTTTTATTACACAATGGTAACACGTATGCATCTATACCTATTGGTCATTCTGTACATATGAACGAGAGCTATGAAAACCTAGAAATAGTGTTAAATACAATTGGTTATTCTGGTCATGGTCATATTGCTATACGGAGTGGAAACATGGACTCTCGGAATTACATGTATGAGGCGTATAGAAGCCTTTGAGATGTGGGTTTTTCGAAGGACGCTGAAGATCTCTTGGACAGAGCACGTGACCAACAACGAGGCGATAAGAAGAATGAGTACCGAGAGACAACTCCTAAATATTGTAAAAAAGAAACAGAAAAACGAGTTATCTAGTACATATTTACAGAGGAGAAAAATACAACTTCCTACGACTTATAATCGAAGGGAAAGAGGAAGAGGCCCAGGAAGTAGAAAATGCTCCTGGTTGAAGAATATAAGAGACTGGACAGGTATGGACACACATTCGATACTAAGAACAGCTCAAGATAGAGAACAATTTGCTGTAGTTATAGCCAACCTTCAGTAATGGAGAAGGCACCTTAAGAAGAAGAAGAAGAAGGTCATGGTTGGATGTGGTGATTTAAAAGTAACATGCATGTTTCTTGGTCAGCAAGATAGTTTTACCAAATTTCTATATTTCTTGTGTGAATGGGACATTGGAGCTAGGGATATTGCTGCAGAAAACACTGGCCTGTGGGCTGAGTCTTTAAAACCCGGCCAGATGAACATCTACAGCAAAACCATCGTAGATCCTAAGAACATTCTCCTACCACCTCTAAATATAAAGTTAGGCCCCATGAAACAGTTTTTAAAGGCACTGCCTAAAGATGGACCTTGTTTCAAGTATCTCTGTCAAAAGTTCCCAAACCTCTCAGAAGCTAAACGCAAAGAAGGCGTCTTTGTAGGACCCGACATTCGAAAAATGATATTCGAAGTTAACTCTGAAACCACAATGAGCATAAATGGGAAAGAAGCATGGGTATCATTCAAACAAGTTGTTGCAAAATTCTTATTAAATGCAAAAGAGCCAGAATATGGTACTATTGTAGCTAACATGTTAATTAAGTTTAAAAAATTAGGATGTTTGATGAGCCCGAAAGTTCACTTTTTGAACAGTCATCTTGATTACTTCCCGGAAAAGTTGTGAGACGTTAGTGAGAAGGATGAGTGTTTTCACCAGGATATTAAATTGATTGAAAACCAGTACCAGGACCACTGGAACAACAACATGATGGGGGACAGTGGATAGTCACAGATAATTTTTAAACACCATAAAATCCCAAACGAATGTCCGCTGACCACTACAATTCTTATATTATAAGGATGATAAAAAAAATAGTCCTCAATTTTATGGTACAATGATTAAGAGCTCACTCATATTGAACCTAACCCAACCTATATGGTTCAGAATATGCCAGCTGTGAAAAAGAAACAATTTCTTAAAACGAAAAAAAAAACTAGTCCCAAAAATGCTTTAAAATGTTTTAAAAACATCAACCTCTTCTTCAGAAGTCAGAAAATACTGATTCCGTTAAGTTTTTGTTTTATGGACAGGAACAAAAATATGCCATTCGTTATTATGCCTATTTTTTTAAGACAAACCCAGTAAGAATGAAAATTTTTTGGTCCTTCGAGCCGGATTACTAAATAAATAACCTTGTTTCATTTAATAAGCTTTGTCTCATTTTAATGAACCACCGACTTCAAATCATCCTAATCGAACATTTTGAAGGTGAAATAATTTTTGATTTTTGTCTATTTCATGTCTGTTTTTTCATGAGTATTGAGAGAAAAAGAGAAAAATTAAAGAAGCAGCTCTCATCTTACTTAATGAAGAAAAATGTGTAGCAAACCCATCAGCAGAATGTAGCATGCTCTGATTGCCAATACTAAAAGAAGAACTCAGCAACAAGAATTTACCAACATTAGCGGATTAGTAGTAAGTTAGACAGTTCATCTAAAATTATACATAATACATATAAAACACACAATACATAAACGTATACTACATAAACACATAAAACAATCATAATATCATTAAGATTGTACAAACAACAGCCTCAGAATTTTCAATAAAAAGCGTTATAAGGGACAAAAAATAGAACAAATAAACTCAATGAAATATCGAAAAAAAAAAAATAAGAATTAAATATGTGAAAACATTAATGAACATGATAATATTTTTTAAAAGATAAGACCTTAGTCTGAAGCTCATAACTCAGATTACCAGATGTTAGGTTTTCTCTATTTTAATCTATGGATGCGAAAGTTGGTTAATAGACTCGTAAAGAGAAACAAGAATAGGGACCTGTGAAATGTAGTCACAGGATACTATGAATTTCATAGATACAAAAGATCACCAACGATAAGGTTCTCCAGCAAATGAGTAAATGAAAAGAAATATTAAACATTATCAAGAAAAAAAGGAAGACCTGAGGAAGTAGTTTGACCATTCATCTGCAGAAATCTTTCGTGCTGCATATTCCAAAACTTCAATTGTCATTTGGATCGCATATCTTCGGAAAGAGACAGTGCAATAAGAAGAATTCATTAGAAACTATTTGGTAAGATCTCGTAGTACATTGGAGCAAAATCCGTGATGGCTTGTTATTTTTACCTCAATCCCTTGAACATTACTTGACTAAACTTGAAAAAAAAGGATGCACTCAATCATGATACTTAGTTTTAACAATAAATTCGGCAAACTGGGCTACATACAAATTAATATTCCCATATAGTGGTCAAATTATAAACAAAAAATAACAGAGCAATGTTCCATTAAATTCAGAAAATAGTTAGCACAGTTATTACACACAACGAAACAATTTCTAAACTTAACGAAACTTTGCTGATACAGTATGCATATTTACTTGTTCAACAATCTGCTGATTTTCAATTTCCTCATTAGCTGCATCATTAATCTGAGCAAGATCTATCCTATCAGCTTGTTCCCTACTTTCGAAATTGAAATTTTCTTCACTAACATCTTGAGTATCTAACTTCTTTGGTACTTTATTCTTTCTTCTGTTACAATTATCGAGTTTGTAAATTTTTGGCTTGCAAGTTTCTATAAATTCGTTTTTTCTTTTCAAATTTTTTCTTTGGGATATTTCTGTTATCAAATTCTTTTCGGAATCGTCGAAGTATTGCGATTTGGGAGGAAGCACTGGTTTACTGGTGAATGCTTCGACCAGTTTGGAGATCTGAGTAAAGGATTGCAGTTTATCGCACAAAGTAACTTCGCCCCTGTTTTCGAAGCATTCGTCCAGACTAGAATCAGATTCAACGTCGTATTCAACTAGCCGAGTATCAGTTTTCATGTGTAAATTAACAGGAGTTTCTAAGAAATTAAGAGTCAGAGGGAAACTCTGCCTGAACTCATCAAATCCACCATTTAATCCGGTAAGAACATCTAAACGATCTTCGGTCTGATTTCCCTTGTTGATCTTCCTGTGGTTGAAGTCGGTATAGGAGCTCTTGTCTCGTTTCTGTTTAGACTTCAAACAAGAATCCTGTATATCGTACTGGGCTTCTAGAATGATGATGTTCTGTAAACAGTTCTTTATGAATGAGTAAAAGTTGTCTACGTTTTCCGCACATTCTCCGCAGATGGTATCTGGTAGAAGACAGTATGGAGTCACCTAAAAAGGCAGTTCATTTAATATTATATCAGTAAACTAAACACGATATTAATAGGATTAGTAGGTATTTGTACATAGTTACATTTGCTAATAATACGCAGAGATACATATAGATACTATTGCATATTACTACAAATGCGGAAGTCTTGTTTGGTACTTTCATTTTAGTTATATTTTAATTATCTATTAACTATGACATTGTTAGACAAGCTTTCAATACAGTATACATAGTGTATTGTCTTTGCTAGTTTCCACATCTGCTCTATAGATATGATCTGATACAATTAGGTGTAAGTATAATAACTTTAAAACGACTGTTCAGATTCCAAGCATTTTTAAAGTCCGGAGTACCTTATTTGGTTTCACGTGGTTGATATTCGTTTCATCTAACAAAAATTAGTCTCATTGAAGTCAAAGGAAAATGGCAAACGTTTTCTGTGAATGCAAACAATATATTTAATATGACGAACTTCTCAATGGCAATAAAACAGTATTCGCCGAAGTGCCATTGACCATATAGGAAATTGGTTTAAAAAGAGTATAACCTCTAAATGACTTTTGGAGATAGCATTGGAAGAACCTGATTTCTAAACACCTTCGTAAACTGAGATTCAAAAATGAATCATTTTTATGGGTTAATTACAGAAAAAACATGGCAAGTTTTGTTACTCAAGTATTTTTCTTCTCTTAAGGTTTTTCGTCAAAACACAATTTTTTTGTACAAAATAAACAGTGACCCATTTTGTGAGAGATACCTTACAACATGCATTTAACCATTAACAGTATCTTGCAGCATTCCCATGATCCTTCGTCAACCCTCTTTATCGAAAACATCATCTTCGCATGATCTACACGGCCTGCCTAGTTTTCTTGTTCCTGATGATCTCCAATGATATTCCAAGGTGACATTGCTCGACAAACATTCTTAATACATTTCTCAACAACCACGACGTTAACCACTCTTTGGATAATACGCCTGAACTATAAATGTGGTTCAAGAGTGTCATCAAAACATCAATGTGTTTCTTATCTAGAATTGTTAGGATTTCTATAGGAAGCATGTCAGGTGCAGGAATTTTCCCACTCTTCATTGTTTTTAATGCGTGTAATATTTCTTCTTTTGTAATATATTGACCTATTTCTTCTGACGTAATTCTATGTACTCCAGATCTCCTCTTTCATCATTGAACAATTCGTCGATATATTCTGCCCATCTTTGTACTTTCTCATCCGTATGTGTTATAGAAGTCCCGTGTCTCTCCAGAATTGCACGAGTGGGATTTTGTTTTCTTAGTGCTGACAGTTCTTTAACTTTCTTGTTTAGATTAAACAGATCATATTTATTTTGAAAGTCTTTGATTGCATTTCTCTTTAAAGAATTGTTCTTTTGTCTGCTTTATCATCTTCCTGATTTCGTGGTTAATCTCTCTATATTTATTGTTGTCTTTGTTTTTAAATTGTCTCCGTTGTTCCATCATATTGAGTATCTCGTCATTCATCCATTCTTCTTTTCTCCTCGCGGAAGTCTTTAGTATTTTTTACAGGGTTCCAGTAGACCATGTTTTAGTCGATCCCAGTAATCGTCAATATCATTGGTGTTTGTGTTCAATTTACTGCAGTTCATGTTGGAGGCATTCTTTTACTTTAGGACTTTAACAGCATTACGGTATCTTTCATTGATCATAATGTAGTCTACCTCGTTTCTGACTACTTTCTCCGATGTATCTGCATGCGATTGCCAGGTATACAGTGGTCTGTTTTTTTTTTGTTTAAATGGCATAGGCAAGTACCATACAGCCAGTCACAACATGAAAATATTCTACCCAGAAAGAAGAGAGTGGTCTGTTTGGTAACTTGAAAAATGTGTTTGTAATAATAAAGTTCTGCTCTTGGCAGAATTGTAACAGACGGTCTCCTCTTTGCATTGAGATCACCTAGGACTATCAGTCATACCATTGACCAAATTAACCCTATTTGAATATGCATCTAGCCTTTAGGGCAAGAAATGTAATTACAAAAAAACATCGTTATAAGAGCAGATAGTCAACAAGTAGGGTACCTACGTCACAGATCTGAGAAATCTATCTGTATCACACCAAAAACTTGTATATTAAACTCTTTGTTTTTTTTGACGTGTTAGTTTAAATAATGGACGCCTTTTTCACAATACAATTTTTACAAAGTAATGTCGGACATTGTCCAGTAGGAAATTATGTGAAAATGCGTAACTTTACCCATACAGTAACGCGAATTATTGAAAAGGACCATTTTTGGTGACATTATTTGAGAAACTCGTTGCAATAAAACTGTGACATGCGCAAGTCTATCTAAATAACACAGAGCACTAACGTATATTCCGCTGACAGGCTACTGAAAGAGTGACGATTTTCCAATCGTTTCGCTGGTCGGAATAGTCGGCTAACTTGAGTCGAAAATATGCCACTTCGGGCAGGTCAGGTGACCTCACCATAATTGGCATTTGCTGTAGATTTCTTCTTCATAAGATATGTATCATTATTAAGTCTATGCAGATATACGGGATCTACAGTTTAATGTTGAATTAGTATAGAGGAGATATACTAAGCAAATTACGTTTGCGATTGTCTTACTGCTTATAATTTTTTTGTATATTATATGACATAAACTTTAATTTTGCAAATTCTTAAAAATAAACTTTTAACTTTAATTAAATTTCTTGGAATTTTCAGTGTTCCCAAAAACATTGTATATTTATTAACCTAGCTGAAGATACCAAACAAAACATTGATTTTAAAATCTGGAAAATAACGTCGAAATCAAAAGCTATTTTTAAGCTGCATTTCACATAATAATTTATGAGTTTCGTGACTTCCGTAAACTGAACTGAGTAAATTTTGTGCTAAATATTAGTCACTAATCGATGAAGAATAAACGTTTTGAACAGAAGAAAAGTTTTGAAATATTTATTCTTCCATGATTACTTCGAGACTTTTAACAACACGTTAAACATAAAAATGTTAAGAAAAGTTTAGAAATGAACTTGATGACCGATCCTTGCATGTAACCTAAAATCAATAACACAATTTTTCAATAAAAAATATAAAGCCAATGATGAGCTGAAAGAATTGGAACATGATGAAACATAAAAACCTGGAGATATATTACGAAATTAAATGAACAAATATCTGTGCGTGCTCGCGTGTGTGTGTTTGCACGGGATATTTACCTATAATTGGACATCTGTTGTATCGATACGGTCTAGAGATCATTTCGGGAAACATCACACAAATTTAAAACATTCCAGATTTACCGTAAGCGATAAGATGAAGTGGAAAATTGCATTTCGCGATCATTTGAAATGATAAAAAAGAGCAAACTATTCTAGGATACATTTTGAATCCGCGTGAGATAACAGTTTAATGAGAAAATTAGCTGTCTTACTAAAATTAACTATCTACACAATATAGGGTGATTGATTAGTGTGAGGAAGCTCAGTAGATCTGTTATAGTAAAAATTACCAAAAAAGTTATTGACAAAAATTGTAGGCAGCTTTAAAATACACATTTTAAAATTAGTTACAATCTTACAGGGTGTTTAATTTGGTAGACATTTTCACGTTTACCAATAATGATTGTGAGTTGGCCATGATTGATTTGTCAGAAACTGACAGTTTGACATAATTGTTTATTAAATCAGTAACGAAATAACGACACAGAAAAAAAACAATTTATTTCAAATAAAATTTATAAAAAAATAACCGACGGAAAATTAAAAAAAATAGCAGCACATAGAAAATAAAAAACAACAGTAATTTTAACTTATCTTTCTTAAGTAAGCTGTTCAAAATGAGCTCCCAAAACATCTATGCATACATGAAAGCGGTCACTGAGAGTTGCTTACATTACTAAGCATTTGTAAAGAAATATTTTGAAATGCAATTCGGATTCTATTTTTATATCATCCCTTGTTGTTGGAGGTATTTTATATACTTCGTTCTTAACGTAACCCCAAAAAAATTAGTCCATTTTATTGAATTCTGGTGACCTTGGGGGGCCACCTTCCGATCCATCTTTCACCAAACTGATCATTAAGTTTACCACGTACTAATTCGTTGCAACGTCATTTGGTAGAAACCACATTTGTTCACGAATATTAAGTGGAACCTCTTCTAATAATATCGGTAACTGATTTACGATAAAATCTAAATCTCACCATTTAAGTTATCTTCAAAAAAATATGGTCCTACTACATGGTTACCGGCGATACCTCCCCACACATCTAGAGACCATCTTGTTTGACTATGTGGTATGGATTACTTGTTGAATAGTAGTGAAAGTTATGCCTATTAACAGAACCGTTTCGATGGAATGTAGCTTCATCACCAAATAGGACATAATCAAAAAAATCTCTCTTCTCATTAATTTTACTCCATTCACAAAATACTATTCGTTTCTGAAAATCAATCATTATTTAATTCTTGGTGCTTTTGAATATGATAATGGTTCATCTTGCTTTTAGATAGAGTGTTTTGAACAGAGTAGTAACTAAGTTCTTGTTCACTGGTGTGTGTTCTTATATTTGTGTTCCTTATACTTGTGTGTGGGTTTTCTGTAACTGCCATTAACACACTCATTTCGTTTTCCTCTGTCACACTAGTTTTTGTTCAGTCATGTTTTTCATAATTCACTGAACCAATGCGGTTAAATCGATCTTTCAATTTTTTAAATGTATCTTGTCTAGGTTGCCGCCTATGTGGAAACCGGTCTTGATAAATTCTAGCTGATAGTAATGAATTTTTATTGCATTCCCCCAATATCCAGATCATATCTACCATTTCATCAGTAGTAAAATTCATTATTGCTAATTTAAATTGTATTAATTACTTAATTACTAAATACTAATTGTTGCTAATTTACAGTGTTTCCCAATACTGAATTAATAAACAATAATGCCAAACTGTCAGTTTCTGACAAATCAATCATGGCAAACTCACAGTAATTATTGGTAAACGTTAAAATAT